TGCAAGTCTTAATAAATCATTTAGTTGACAAATGAGGATTTGGACTTTTTATAAAATTACAAATTCAACACATGTAATGTAGTTAACAAACATTTAAGGTTACAGTTCATTGAGATATGCATGAATGCCAAAAATTGGGTTCAACACGTTTTTCCTATTGTTGGTGTTGATGTCAAAATTCAGACAGAGTTTCGACTGGGTTCAACACCTATTTGTCTCGAGTGTTTTTTTTTCGTCATGTTACTTCACAAGTAGTCATACGTATTGCACCATCTCGGTTTGGGCCGAAGAAGGGAGGTTTAGTTTTTGAACCCGTTGCAAAGGAACTCTAGCAATTCTACTACCACATTTCCTACCAAAAAGCTAACCCAACCGGTCACGGTGCCACGAGATAGCTCAAGAAAAAGAGAAAATAGGCATTCCATTATTGGAGGCTGCTAACAAGTGTTTGAGTGTGTGTGAGCTTTGTGCGTAAAATTGACTTCATAACAAATGATTGTGCACCAAGGGGACAGTGGTTTGGTTAAGTTTTTTATGTGCCTTGAGTGGACGATGACTTAAAATCCATATAAGTTTGTGTGTATTTGCCTAAAAAGTAAATGAAAGAGAAATAGAAACTAAAATGAGAAAAAAATGTTACATTTCATGATGAAGTTGAGATGAAAGACATTTACAAAAGTAAATCTATTGATGAGTCAAACTACATGACTTAAAATGTAAATAGACTGAAAATGTAAAGAAAGCAAGCAAGGTTCAGGTCATGAAGGGCGAGGAAATGCTAGAAGAGTCCACCAAACCACTGAGTTCGAACTGGACTTAATAGAAAACATGTGCCTCATAGAGGAAATCAAGGTGGCTGAAATTGCACGTCAACAGAATCAAACCATATGGTGGCAGAGTTGTAAAAATCTTAGATCACAAGGATCGTAGGCAATGTTTACTTCGAACGAAGGCTTTGAAATTGTAGCTAAAGAGCTAGAGGTTTTGCTAAAGAGCAATTGGATTTATGCTGAAAAGCAGTTGGGTTGATTCATAGAGATTGAGAACCTCTCCAGATGTTTTTGTCCAGAGCCTCGTGAGCTTTGCAAGTAGAACTTCATGAACTGGTGATCCCGTGTGGCGCAGACCACAATAGGAAAAGAGAACTAACAAAAAAATTGAACTCTTTTAGGCCAAATATTCATTAAAAAAAATTATTTTATTATACAAAAACTAGCTCAAATCTTGTCAATAAAAATAAATAAAGATAAACGAAAGTTAAACAATTTGTAAAGTTGGGGTTTGAGTCTCTGTGCATTGGAGGAAAAAAAATGATTGACTCTATACCTATAAAAGAATAATTCAACATGCAGGTCTAAAGTTTAGATTATTTTTCTCTTACTTGAAGAATCTTTCAAATATTTTATGGTACAATAATGGTTTCGTTAATTGTGGTGAATGTTATGTATGTATGTATACAATATGTTTATATTTTTTATGAAAAGAAAACATGATTTCTATTCATTTTTAATTTTTTTTACAGGGTAGGGAGTATAATTTATCTTTTAATCTTTTCAATCTCACAAACAATGAGTTTTACTTAAAATCTCATTAACATTAGCAGCTGATACAAATCAGAAAGTAAGCGGGAAAGAGCCACGTCACACAAATCAGAAAGTAAATGCAAGAGAAACAAGCGAACGGCCGGTGCACCCCCACAAACTTGAAAAGAACGAGAGTAGTCGCCCTCAAGACACGCACTGACTCCACCCCACGGCTGACCCCCAAGTTCCAACTGCCCTCCGTCGGCCCCACTCCAGTTTCCCACGAGACCTCGCTGAAATGACAAATCCACCCCTACTTCTTCCAGTGAAATTACGGGCTCACAGACTCACATGCAGATGCAGTGCTCCCCTAGTTTTCCATATTCTGACTAAAAAATTATGGAACTGCTGCCTGCAGCTGCTAGTGCAAAGGGTTCGTGTAAGCTCTTGGGTTTTTGCTGCGTTTTGTTACTTACATATACTCCGGAAAACGAAAATTTTTTACTTTACGTCTGTCCTGATGGAATAAGAGAGATAAATACAAGAAAATTTGTGTTATGAAGGATGTTTTTAGTTGAGAAAAACTTTTGAAACTTCCATGACTAAGTTAGGTTTAGTTACATCTATTTAGTGAAGAGAACTGAGGTTTCACTATAAAATTAATTAGCAATATGATGGATAGTCAATTTACTTATAAGGACATGTAAGGTCCCTCATTTCTTGGACGTAGGATTCCCTCTCAACACGCTCCCTCACGTGTGACGTAAATGAGGTGACGTGGAGCACGTGTGGCTGTTGAGTTTCACATGCAGGACAGCGTGCTCTGATATCATGAAAAAAGTTGAAGTTCTACCATAAAACACTTGGTAATATGAAAAATAACCCAACCTCTTATAAGTCATGCAAGGTTTCTCTTTTAACTGATGTGAGACTCTTTGCCTACACATCCTCACACACCCATTACATGTGATGAATTTTTAAGCCAAATACATAAACAACATAAATTGGATGATGTGAAGCACGTGTGGTCGTTGAACTTCACACATAGGACAGCCCGATTTGATACCATAAAGAAAATTGAGGTTCCATCATAAAATCAATTAGCAATACAAAAAGTATATGAATTACTTATAAACACATGTAACGTTTCTTCTTTTTTCTATATGAGATTGATACTTAGATTCACGGAATAAGATAGATAAATATAAAAGAATTTATGCCATGAATTCTTTTCTCAAAGTTTAGCTAGCTAAGCTTCAAAAGCTCAAAATATGTAGAAATTTTGGTTGACGGCTACAAAGGCAAGAACTCATATAAGAAAGCTAGTTAATTTGTATAGTATAGGGCATGTGTTTCTGATCCGTATTAATTAATTTCTGCATCGATCAGCGAGGGTGATATATACATATATATATATATATATATATTATAATAGCGAAGGCATGCAGATTGCAGACTGCACTAAGCAGAAAGATATGTCTGTTATCTTCAGTTTGTAAGACCCAATTATACACGAAAAGCTTATAGCTGTGCAGTAATATGAGTTTAAATCTTGGTATTTGATGAGTCCATATTATACCATATATTTTATTTTATTTTTAGTTATAATTTAGGGAATTTTAACGAAAAGTTCATGGTATTATTCACTTTAACGAAAAACTACATTTTTACACTAAAAGTCAATCATGTTACTATTCACTTTATCTTTTATTTTGTCCTTATCGTTAAAACTCAAAGTTTTCAAGTCATTTTCATTAGTTTTCCTTATAATTTATTGGTTATTTTGGTAGAATTTTGATATTTTGTTATATATTTTCAATGTAGGACATTTGACTTCGTCTGGAGCAAAAAGTAATCAAACGGATGAATTTTGGGATGATTCTAATTGGAGGATGCTTGTGAGTCTTTCAAGATGATTATGTCAAAGTTTCAAATTTTTCTACCAAGCCGTTTAACCGTGGCGATGAAAATTAAGGCTCAGTGCGCAGCTTTCCCAGATTGACGTTTCTGGACGTTTTGGGTATTTTGAAGGTCAAGATGACATATTTTGAGGAAGATTCCTTCTGAGGATTTGTGGACTTCTTCAACTTTCAAAAGAGACCTTTTGGGACCAAATCGGAATTGAATTGGTCGGTCAAAAGTGTGATTTTCTGAGAAGTCCAAATTTTGGTTTAAATAGGAAACCTTTTATTTCCTAGTTATCTTATTCTATTATGTTTCCTAGTTTTTGAAGAAGAAAATTATGAGGGAAAAAAAAATTAATTTTTGAAGAAGAAAATTATATGATATTAGGAAGCAGTAAATCAAGGTTCTATCTTTTTTTTCTTTGAGCAAACAATATAATTATCTACACTAAATTCATTTAAACTCAGAAATAAAAAAGTTAAACTTGAGTACGGAGAAAAGCAAACTTCTCGAGTCAACTTAACTAAACTAACGTCTGAAAAATCTAGGTTTGAATGAACAAAGAAAACAATGCTACAAAATTTCTTGAATTACTAATTACTAATTAAAATGATGTTATAAGTTTACAACTCAGCTGAAGGAGAGATACTCTAATTACGAATTCATCACTTGGTAAACAAATAATAAACGAATGATTTACTTTTTAAATACGTAATAAGTATATATTGATCAGTTGAGATCACTGGAAGATTAGACTATGGGCTCATAGTTAACTAATTAATTAGTGATAGTCTCATGACTCCCATCTCATTTGTAGCTCAGAAGAAACAAAAGGGTGCATGGGGTTCCCCGGCGTTGGGGCCCCCGAGGGAGGGAGAGTAAGAGACAAAGGGGAGAGAGAGAGGGTAGAGAATTATTTACCCTTCTATTCTCATCTCCTTTCGGTCCCTCCTCTCACACATTATTTTTTATCTTATTATCTTTATAAAAAAAAAATCAATATAAGATGTTAACGTGGCTTAACTGTGACCGTTCAAATAGAAGGACATGAAATGATAGAGAGATTAGAAGGGTAGAGAATCATTCTCTGAGAGAGAAGGGGGGGACGAAGGTAGGACCTACACCCGCCCATTATTTAACCTTCTATTCTCATCTTCTTTCAGTCTCTCCTCTCACACATTATTTTTTATCTTATTATCTATATAAAAAAAATCAATATAAGATGTTAACGTGACTTAACTGTGACCGTTCAAATAGAAGGGCATGAAATGATAGAGAGATTAGAAGGATAGAGAATCATTCTCTGAGAGAGGGGGGGGGCGAAGGTAGGACCCACACCCGCCCAGGCGCACGCTGTCTTACCAAAAAACCAAGAAGAGGATCCAAAACCTATCAGAAAATATGAATTCAATCAAAGCCATCCATCAACCGATCATGATACCACATCATCGATCCGGTTCAATTCCTCTGACCTAACCCTAAAACAATTTAAGCCAGCAAGGCAAAGGCACTGCCATCATCAACAAAAACAACATGCCCAAGGCCAAACAACTCAATAATCTCTCTCTCTCGCTCTCTCTCTCTAAGGTCTCAAAAGTCTTCTCAATCAAAAGCAAAAGCCCAAATTCCAATCTCGATAGTTCTTCCAACTCTCTCACTTGTTCTCTTTCAATTGCTTTGTTAATTTCTCCCAAACTCTGAATCAAAACCAACTACTTTCAATTGGCTTCACATGATGAGAAGATGAGCTGATGATGAATGAGAAGAACAAGTAACTAGAAGGAAGAAGAAAGGTGGTTTGATGATATTTCTTCAGCTCTTTCAGCTAAGTACTTGGTGGGTAATTATTTGCCCTAAAATTTAGAACCCATTCCCTTTTTTATTTTCTGGTAACAAAACCCTTTCCCTTTTCATTCTCAAAGAAAAAAGGAAACAGATCGAAGAAGAATAAGAAGAAGAAGAAGTCTCTCTCTCTCTCAATTCTCAAATTTGTTAAGAGAGAGAAAGCTTTAGCTGCTTGAGCTAAAATTAATTAGCTAGGTTTGAGAAGGATAGAAGAAGATATGGATCCAGTTGCAGCACATGGTCGTCCGATCCCACCTCCTTTTCTTTCAAGAGATCTTCACTTACATCCTCACCACCAATTCCAACAACACCTCCACCCCCACCACCTCAACCACCAAAATTCCGAGGACGAACAAAACAGCAGCGGAATCAACCGCGGAATCAAACGCGATCGCGGCGGCGGAGACGAGAACTCCGCGGGTGGCACCACCTCTCTGGAGGGAAAAGATCAACTGGGGTCCACCAGTGCCGGAGAGGCCGAGATCACAAGACGGCCCCGCGGCCGTCCCGCCGGCTCCAAGAATAAGGCCAAGCCCCCCATCATCATAACCCGGGACAGCGCCAATGCGCTGCGATCCCACGTTATGGAAGTAGCCAACGGCTGCGACATCATGGAAAGTATCTCCACTTTCGCAAGGCGTAGACAAAGAGGGGTTTGCATTCTCAGCGGCAGCGGAACCGTCACTAATGTCACTTTAAGGCAGCCGGCCTCTCCTGGAGCCGTGGTCACTCTACACGGCAGGTTTGAAATTCTGTCCCTTTCAGGGTCCTTCTTGCCGCCCCCTGCCCCGCCTGCCGCATCATGCTTGACCATATACCTGGCAGGCGGACAGGGCCAAGTCGTTGGCGGTGGTGTGGTGGGTCCACTCTTGGCCTCGGGGCCGGTTGTTATCATGGCCGCGTCCTTTGGGAATGCGGCTTATGAGAGGCTACCCCTGGAGGAAGAAGAGGAGCCCGCCGTGGCCGGGCAAGTACAAGGAAGCGGAGGGTCCCTCGGTTCACCAGGGATTGGTGGGCAAGAACATCAGCAGCAGTCACTTCAGCAGCAACAGCAGCAACAACAACAACAACAGCAACTACTGCAAGATCCTAATGCACCATCGCTTTTTCATGGGATGCCACAAAGTCTGCTAAACCAATTGCCTGCTGATGCATATTGGGGCACGGCACGCCCTCCTTATTGATTGAGTAATCAATAGCAAGAAAAAAAGAAGCTCACTTGTGTTTTAATTTTTGTCAATCTTCAGATGGATGGATCCCCCTTTTTACCTCTTCAAATTAAACAGCTTTTGCTCATTTTTCTTCTTTTATAAAATTTAGGTGGTGTTTAATTAAATAGTTAATCAAAGATGTTGATTAGTTGATCATGGTATTAATTCATCGTCAATAGGTGTTTGGATTGAGAATTGGATGTACAAAAACCATGTATTTTGGTGGGGGTTTGGTTTACTTTTACCAGTGGAATATTAGTTTCTTTCAGTTCACCGCAAGCGATCGTAGCTGTATAGCTTAGAGATGAAGCAGCAGCAAATATGTTATGAAAAAGGTTGGCATTCTAGCTATTTCACCTATGCTTTTTTTCTTCTTTTTTATTTTTTTTATTTTTTTTACGGTTCTTTATTGGATGGTTTTCACAGTTCTCGTATAGCACAGTTCCCGTTTTTTCACTTTTAACAATCATCATTACACGACCCACCTTCAGATTTTCTTCTTCTTCTTCTTCTTCTTCTTCTTCTTCTTCTTCTCTTCATTGTTATTGTCTGAAGAAGTGACTGATGTTGTTGTGGAAGTTAAAGTGGTTTTTTGTAACAGTAACTTTTAAGTTCGTGACTGTTCAAGGTTAGTGAAAGCGTCCTTTAATTTCCTCAATAGAATGAAGGCCTTAGGGTTTTTGTTTTCTCTCTCAGAATCTCTGACTGAGTTATTTAGCCTAGAAGCAGCTAGGGTTTTGTTATGGAGGTGGTCGATCGAGCAGGACATTGGATACTGGGTCGCTCTGTAAAAGTTCTTTTTCGAGGCAACAACCAGAACAAACTGACCTCAACTCCACCAAGCGTTAAACTCTCGCTCTCTCTCTCTCTCTCTCTCTCTCTCTCACATTGGCTCCACAGAAGTACAGGAATGGAGCGAATCAAGCAGCTAAGAGATTAAAGTTTAAAATAAAAACTGTAGTTTTCTGCTTGATTTTCTGATCAAATATGGATGCTCCTCGAAACCCTAGCTAGCTCTGTGCTTCTCTATTTGGATTGTAATACGTTTGCCTAGGCCCATTCTGCACTTCATCGATGAGAGATATCAAGTCTCATTTTCTTCGTCGACATTATATATTTACCAGGTAATTACGTCTCCCTTATTTATCTGCTATATATATATATAATTTTTATTAGCACTCCAAAAATCTCTATCTACACTTCAAACTTTCTATATTAGGAAAGAAAAAGGAGTGTAGAATGAGATTTTTTTAGTGCCAATAACACTTCCCTGTATATATATATACAGCATTCCCTTCACTAATTTTTGTAGAATGAAGATTGTCTCTCCCTTATTAATTCACTTCAACTACTTATTTCTCCTCCCCTTTATATTGCTTAATTGATTTCCCTTTCTTTTCTCCCTCTTCTTGATGACGATTTTCGGAAGAAACCTGGTTTTGATTTTATGCCCCAAAAGAAACTCTATGAGGAAGGTAACTTCTTCAAGGTGCAACTCATATATATATGACCTATATATATTTATAAACCTTAGATTCTTCGAAAGTGGAATCTGTGTTTACATAATATTCCACACACAACTCATATAGATTGTGCACAATCAGTATTCAAATCTTATATATATATGCCAAGAAATTGCATATAATGTATAATATCAGAAATCCCTTATAAATTGTACACGCAAATATATATATATATATATATATATATATATATATATATATATAACACGCACAACGAATATTAAAATTGTTATAACTGCATATACCAACACAAAAGCCTAAGCTATAAGTAAATAAATATATATAGCATGTATTTTAATTCGCATTCGTGCGGGAAGTTTATCTATGGTTATATGAATGATTCTTACCCTTGTACATGTACAATTTGAGGGGTGATTATTAGGTGGACCATGCATGCCTACTACGCTTGGAACAATTCAAATTCGTGTGTGTGTGTGTGTGTGTGTGTGTGTGTACATGGGTAGAGCCATCCATCACCTCTTTTTATCCACACACAAACATCTTGCTAATTTTTGTTAGTTAATCTTTTTCCAATTCATTCAATCTGACGGCCTAAAATTGAGATGTATGTACGGAAGTAAAGGAGTGTGTGGATAGTACCACCCATATACATACATGTGTGTGTGTGTATCCCTTCCACTTCATTATGATGAGCATCACTTGATCATTCTTTGAAATACAATCTGATCATGACTACGTACAAAAACGGCAGGCTTTCACCTTCTTCTCCTCCAACATCAGAAGAGACTCTTTGTATATCATACGTGCATTAGCTTAATCCTGTTTCTATTCCATTCCGTTTGATATAATTTCTGGATCGATCGATCTCCCATAAGCTTTTACCTTTTAGGGTTTCCTAACAAGTATCTGGTTAATTAGGCAACACAGGCATGCCATTTTCTCTTCAACTTAGATCAAGGGCAAGCTAAAGATTTAATATATGTGCTATCGTAGGAAACAATTTTCTGATAAAAGACATATTTCATTCAAAGCCAGAAAAAGACTACTCAGTACAAGAGATGGAGATATCCTCTTTAACAAAATCACAAATCAAAGAGGGAGTTTCATCAACCCAACCAAGTACAATCACCTCCGGGATGGAGGGCAAAACAAGCAAGCCTATGGGCTACTCAATACAAGAGATGGAGATATCCTCTTGTAGGAAACTTAATTTAAAGAGGAAATGGTTGTAGGTCTTGGACGTTGTTTGTACGTGGATGAAAAATAACATCTCCTAATTGAACTCAGTGTAATTTTAGGCACTATATCTTTGATTCTGAACTACCAACTGACCATCACCATTGGTTAATGCAAACATAAAAAATTCATGCCCATGCTATTAAAGAATATTGTGCTCGTTTTTTTAATAATATTAATGAGCTTATGATAATCAAGGCTGCTACTGCTAGCTCATTCGGCATATTTCTTTTATGAAAGGGGCAAAAATAAGATTCACAAAAATGAAGAACATATATAACTCAAAGAGGAGAGTATACTTGTAAACAAAGATATAAAAATACGAACAATAATCATATGTTTTGCAAGACAGACTAGACAGTGCTAAAAGAGGCAGATGATCTATAAAAATTAATGTTTCCAGTGCTGCGTCGTCATGTGAGACATAAAAACTCTTAAAACAAATCGGCGACTTAAGAATTTTAGTAAACCAAGGAAATGATACGGAGAATGCACGGAAGATGCACGGAGGATTCTACAAAATGTTGGGCAATGGAAGAATACTTTCGTCCGAAGGGATGCTAATAATTAAGGTGGCTCATCGCCTAGCTAGATTAGGCCTAACTTCAAATCATCCTATTTCTTGGTTTGAGGAGCCTCCTAATGTAATTTTCGATTTTTTATTAGAGGAAATATTAGCCATTAAGTTTTTTTGTGTGAGACACTCTTTTTTCCTTCAACCGGATTGAAGCCCCTATCAAGATTTTTATCGAGGCCATTTATGCACCTTATCCTCTATTTGTACAATTGTTCTAAAAATCCCCACCTAGGCGCTACGCAGCTAGCCACTGCCCTGATTAATGCCTAGGCGTTTGAAAATTAAGAAAGGGTACCTAGACTGGCTGAGGTGCCCGCCTAGATCGCCTAGGCACCTGCTTAGCCTGTCCAGACCCGCCTAGGTCGCGACTCACTTAGACAAAAAATAGATAACTTTTATTTTGCATTTTATTTTTTTCGACAAATTGTAAAAGATTTGTTACATACTTAAATGAACACACATTATATCCTTGTTCCCAATGTTTTTATTATATTCCAATACTTTATAACATATATGTCATTTTATTTTGTAGTTCATGATGAAATTATATATATATATATATATATATATATATTAAGTACAAATAGACACTTATTTACACGAAATATAATAGATTTACTTAAATCTGCCTAGGTGGTAAGCCCAAACCCGCCACCCAACTAGCTCCTAACATCTTTTAGAACCTTGGTACTTTGTAAATTTTCTCCCGTATTCAATGAATATCGCACTTAAATTCAAAAATAATAATAAGAAGAAACAATAAATTCACTAATATTCCACATAATATCGCACTTAAATTCAAAAATAATAATAATAAGAAACAATAAATTCACTAATATTCCACATACTGTTTATCTTGATTGGAATCTTGTAACTAACTTGGCAAGGTTTTTATCAAGGCCATTTGTACACCTTATCCTCTATTACATTTTCTCTCATATTCAATGAATATCGTACTTGAATTCAAAAAAAAATATCGATAAATACATTAATACTCCGCATACCGTTTATCTTGATTGGAATTGTAACTACCTTGGCAAGGTTTTTATCGAGGTCCGTTTATGCATCTTATCCTCTGTTACGTTTTCTCTCGTATTCAATGAATATCGTACTTGAATTTTAAAAAAAGGGATAAATTCATTAATATTCCACATACTGTTTATCTTGATTGGAATCTTGTAATTAGTTACTATTGTGCGTACAGATAGATACGTTCAACCAAAAATTGATGATGATAAACGGTCAATGTGGGTCTTGTGTTGAATTGTTATTTTATTCTAGATAGACACTTCTTGAGGACCAAATGATATTGATACATGCAAGTTCCAATCTGTTACGAGGAGCTACCGATTATTTAATAATGATGATGATGATGTTTAAAGTCCTCAACTTTTACCATAAACCATATTTAAACCTAAGTGGTGCTAAAGTCCCCTCATTAATTATAAGTAGTCACTAAACCTTTTTTTTTTTTTTTAATTTTATAAGTAGTGTTTCAAAGTAATTTTCACATTTTTTTTTTTATCTTCAGACACCATGCTTCACATTTTAATTTAAAAAGATGGATCTTCAAAAAAATTATCGAGATTATTAATATTTTCCCACTAACACAACGTAAGTTATAGGTTCAAGGAATCACAAATCGACACCCTTAGACAAGATTCTAAAACACCACAAGTTTAAGAGCGACTCGATTTTCAATTGTAATGATAATAAAATGATTGAAATACAACCATAATATTTTGTTTAAATTGTCCTAGTAAACTAGTTGCGAAGGAAAATGAAACGGGAAATTACAAAGTTCCAAAAATAACCTCAAAACTTAAAGGTGTTCTTAACCTACTAAACGTTATTAAAATGTCAAAATCCAACTTATATCAACAAAGCTACGAGTTGTACTCGTCTTGCTGTTCTCTTTCCATAAGTTATCCTCGGCAAAAATGGACATAGAAAACGCAAATTCTATTTATGGTAAAATAACTTTTCACATAAGAATTCGCATTTTTAATATGTTCTTCCAATCCTATGTCACCTGTCTCCCACCGCCCATTTTTTCATTCGTCCATTTTTTTATATACTTTTCTCACATCTCAAACACAAAAAGAGAAAACGAAATCATTCACAAATGGGCCTTCAAGAATTTATTCTTGAGTTTATGTGATAAGCCACAACATCTTTGGCATGTATTGTTTTAACATACCAAAGAGCAATCTACTCCATGTGTCATGCAGAGGCTTGTGTTTGCTTTCTTTACCTCATGAAAAGTAAGCTTATGTCCTTTTTTAAGGTTTGTTCCTCTATCATGAATAGTAACATTAGAGAGAGAGGAAGACAAAGCTATAACTTATACACTAATAGATGATGATCAAGTTTTCAACAAGACTTGAACCACGTAAACAAAGCATCAACTTAGAATCCGTAGGGCCATCTCCAATGGAAAGAGCTACATATTCAAAAGCCAAAAATTGGTCTAATTTGTCTAAAAATTCATCTCCAACCCATAGCTGAGCTACAATTTTATGGAACCCACCATACCATTATTTGGCTAAAGGAGCATGGGTAAATGTAACCCTCTCTTAGCCCTGTTTTTGGACAGAGCTCCTCAATTGCAATAATCGATTCACATTCAACGGTAAAATTCAAATTCAGTTTTCAACAAGACTTGAACCACATAAACAAAGCATCAACTTAGAATCCTTAGAAACCCTAATTTTATAGTAGTTAGATAAATTCTGCACTATAAGACTAGAGGAAAGGAACCGCGTGTTATGAAGCATCCGAAGCGACACATTCTACCTTTGTGCCTTTGTGGTTTCAATGAGAGCATTGAAGAACAAACCTTTACAACTAGAAGCTGATAATCTAAACAAGTTAGCGTTTAACAAACTAAAGAATGAAGATTATCATTGGTTATACGAATAAATCGATACAACATCGAATGGGCGTGATGCCATTTCGAGCTTATGTACCTTATCCAACCGTACGGGACTCGATTCCCCCTTAAGCCGCAACATCTCTCCCTTCTTCATTTGTTCATTTTCACCGATTACAAACAGACGCTAAGCTAAAGAGAAGAGCTATAAAACAAGAACGTAAACTGAACCTCACTTACTTTACACAAAAATTGCGAGGAATTCTACCGGTCATGCCCCTTTTTAGCACGTAACAATAGTCGGACTCAATTCTGGACCAAGCTATACAGAAGCATCACGAATTTGTGTGCGCATCTCTCATTGACTGGAGAGATAATATATTCAGAGCAGCCCATCACACTGCTTGCTAATCAGTAGTCTATCCGTAACCGTCGCATTTCAGCACGGAAAGTGGGGCTTGAATTCAAAGTCCGATGAGCAAGACTCCTTATGTCCTCTCGTGAACAGTCTCGAGAAATTCTAACTAGCTCCCAGAGGGCACCTCCACTAATCATGTCCTTCGCATTCACCTCTGTGATTTAAATACCCAATATATATAAGTGGAAGGTCTAAGACATAAAGATGTTATCTAGGATCAGACAAATTCACCTACCATGTTGTGCTAAGTGACAGAGTGCAAGCTCGATGTGGCGCCGGATTGGTGCAGCCTCGTCATTAGCATTTTGTACAATCCATGGAAGTGCACCATCTTCTATCAAGAAAGATCTTCCATTCTTTATCCCTATAGTAGGTTGGCATATTGACATTACACCAAAAACGTAAAAATCTTAAATCGGACATTCCACCATAATAATGAGGGAACTATTGCCCACTGTTCATGGAATATTTCTGACAGAGGCTCTTACCTTGAGTACACGCTCGTGATTCACATTTTGCAAAGTTAGCAATTCCACGTGCCACTTGGGAAAGAACATCAGGATGCCCGCACCTCACAATTCCTAGCAACGCCTTAATACCACCTTCAGACCTTAGCTTCATCTGTAGCTTATCTGAGGATATTAACAAAATAATAACAAAGCAGGATTTAAATACTCAAATTTAGTAAAAAAATGCAGAGCAAACGAAGACAAATTTAAGAACAAACAACAGAAAATCCTTCCTCTGAAGCATAGAATTGGAAAATGGACATGTTTCCAAGGACTAGGGTAAAAAAGTTTGAATTATATATAATAAACCCGAGAACTAAATAGAAAAGAGGAGTCTTCTTCAAAGATTTTAAAAGGACTTTTATTATGCACTAATAAGCCAATGAAGCCATTTATGCTCGATTACTACCGATAGTTATACACATTTTCTTTTAAGACCATCTGAGAAAAGAAATGAATAACCAAAAGAAAAGGCAAAGGCTCTAATAATAAAACAAGTTAAAAAAAGACAACGCAGTATACCATTGCCGCATAAATTAGCAATAGCTCCAGCAACCATGCGTAGGGTTTGAGCATCATCAGCATCAGCAGCTGTCGTTGCTAACAAACTAATCCCACCTTCCTGCATTATAATTTCTTGATTGGCTTCTGCAATTCCAAAGAGGAAGCAACGTAAAAAAACCAATATTTTGAAAGTCAGACAGATACTTCTCAACCCAAAAGTAATAACATTCAAACTATAGAAAAAGCCCTTGCACTCTAAGAAAGAAGAATAGATCATTGAGCATTCACCATTCATTGCAAGATTCGCAATGGCACCAGCTGCCACTCTTCGAACGGTTTCGTCCTCAAAGCTTCTAAGAAGCATCAGCAAGGAAGTAAGACCACCAGCTTCAACTATCCTTTTCTGATTTGCCTCTGCTTTTCACATACAAGTGCACAACAATTCTCTGAAAGTTAAAACTTCAAAAAACAAAAAAAAAAAGTATACACAGTATGCAACTGCAACTTCAATTACTTTTGTTTAACAATCAAACCAAGGCCCAAAAAGAAAAAGTGGTTTTGGAGAAAGAACATACAGCTTCATAAAAAGAAAAAAAGAATGGTCTCCTAAGAATGCAATTGTGCATTCAGTATTCAGAGACAAAGTGGTTTTGGATAAAGCCAAGGATTAGCAAATAGCAGTAACTCCACATACAGATTACCTATTCTTCAACATAATAGTTATTAAACTTAGTGTATAAGTAATAAAGAATGATAAGGCTATCTTCAAGAATTGTATCAACCATTGCCGTTCCTCCACTAGCAAATGGGAGTACAATTCACATCTCCCGAATCAAGTAAGAATTTACTTTTCTGTATTTGCATTCTACAACTAAAGAACCGAAAACATGAAAGCAACCAACTGGATTGATCATTCCAATGCACTTATATATTAGAGATAAACAAGATGAATAAAGGTCACAGGAAAATAAAGGAGAAATGCAATAGAAAAAGATCAAGAACTTGTGTACTGCAATAAATAAAATCTTAAGATTGCTGTAGATAAAACATGAAATTGGAAGACATGGAATAATTGGCCACAAGAAAAATTGCACCAGATATACATCTACACACCTTCAGCCGCTAAGTTGGCTACCACTTTTACAGCATGAATGCGAACATTAGCATCATCCGACTCAAGTAAGGACAAAATCTTTTGCAATCCAACTGTTGCATTGATTGACAAAAACAACATGAGAGATGCCTATGGATTAAAATGGTTGGAACAAATATTGCCTATGCATTAAAATGCAATATTTATCATTACCTTGTTCAAAGAGTGTGGAAACTGGTGCCTTGTGTCCATTCCCAGTGTCTCTGGGATAGGAATGCCTAACTGAAGGTGCAGAAGAATCTAGACCAGTAAACCCATTTCCAGACCCGCTTCTATCAAGACACCTTCTCATCTATAAATACGAATAAAAGCAAAAATGATTAAATTCCTACGTGTGGGACAAGAATTCTTGAACTTGTTACATTATATGATTCCCAACGCGAACAGTTCATTCATGTTCAGCTGAGGCTTTCTCAAATATAAGCACTCCAAGAAAGCAATTTTATTTTTTATGAACAAAAGATAACTGAATAATCAACTTCTAGGTTTGTGAAAGCAAACGGCTTAGATACTTTCAGCACTGAGTTGAAAGTACACGAAGTAATTATAACATTTATTTACAGTTTCACAAACCAAATATAACTTTAGCATGGAAGAAAAACTTTTATGTTAATTTCTATGAATTACATACCTGCTCAGCTTCAAAATTCGACTGCAACAACTGACTGCGTAAAATTACTATTTCTTCTTCAAGTTTCTTCTTATGTTCAGCTTCCTCGTCCAGAAGTTTATGAACCTTTAAAAATTCCGCATCTCCACCAGCCTAGTACACCAAGAATAATCCCATAATTGATATCAATCCTATGCTTAGGGATTTTGAGGAGCCAAATAATGCTAGCAATACATAATCTACGAAAGAAGTCATACTTGTGATTGTGAATATAGCCCTAGGCTTTTGAGATTTTTCAGCTCCTCCTCAGCCTTCTTTCTGAGGTCAATTTCTTTTTGAAGCAACTCTTGTAACTCAGCCACTTCCTTAGAAGGAGAAAGCCCGGACCCCTAAATAACAGGAAAACAAATCAACTATATTATGTATTTGGTGGTCTAAAAGTAAGGATGCACTTGGTTTGACAAACTTCAAATCTTCATTTTCAGTTCCTCTTTCTTTTTTTTTTTCTTTTGTAAATGCCTTTGGTTAGAGAGACTTTTTTAAGAGAACAAAACAGGTGAAAACACGTTTTACTAGAGAATTTTAAAAGATTCAAGTAAATAAATTTGACGAACTTCAAGAAATCCAGAAATTTATAAACATCCTACTGATAAGTTACAAATATTTTGTTGCAAGCATGATATGTATCATGTTATTTACAGATATATGACAAGCCAATAGTTCTAACAATTACAGGTGGATGACATGCAAAATCTGGTGAATTGACTTCAACAAAGCATTCATAATAGGGCAATCTACTTTACAAATTTCACTCAATGAGAAGATAATATGACCACTTGGGAATTGTAAAGTCGATACGCAAAAGATACATAAGTTCAAGATGATATTTAAGTCAAATGTGAGTTCTTAGTAAACCAACAATTAACTTGAGAACTTGCTTTCAAGACAACATATTGTAGCACAAAATGATTATTCAATGGACTACCTCTCCGTTACATTTAATATCAACCAGGCCCTCATGGTCTGGCTTCTGATTTGACACCAACTTCTCCTCCAGCTCCTTAACAGCTTCCATATAATCCATTTGGCATTTTCGCCTCTCCTTCTGCAGAAAGGATAAAAAAAAACACTTAAAATGTAGCACCAATATGATTACTGAATCACCAAATCTCTGTCAGAAGCATGGTAGTATTAAAAAGTAATAAAATAGTAATAAAGAGAATCAATTAAAGAAAAAAATGTAGTAAAATAGTTTCAAGTCCATCAAGACCACTTAAAGAATTATAGAGCATAAAAAAAAGTGAAGTTCATTCTGTACTAATAAAATAAAAGCAGACAAACCTCTAATGCATCAGCAAAGTTTCTTTCAACATCAGAGACACGTTTTTGTGCTTCTAGGTTTATTCTTTCAATTTCATCCTCAAAATTTTTATGCTGCCTTTCATTTTCTGCAATAAGCTTGTCCACTTGTACTTCAAGTTTTCTTGACAAACTTTTGTAATCAAACTCTTCCTTAATTTTCAACATATTCTCCACCTTCATAGCCTGCCAATAATAAAATAGCACATCCATTCATATACCAAGTAATCAAGAAACATTAACTGACAAAAAATTTCATTATTGAAGAATAACTGTTACTATCGATAGAATATGAATTAAATGGAATAATGTGGATGTTGACAGATAGTGAGAACAAAGTACATGATTCATGAATAGCGATGTTGCATTTCAAATTTACCCATCTTTTATAGGAGCTTATCCAATTAGTAGAACAACATGAGCTTTGATTTTGGTAAAGTATATATGATATCAACAACAAAACACATAATAGATGCTTCCTAATTCAAATTTTATGACCTCCAACTATAAAAACTGACCCTTTGTCCAAATAGTATGGTACTTGTAGTCTCTCCCCGATGACGTGGAGAAGGTCCAATAGTAACAATTAATGAAGTCCTCGCTGATCCTGCAATTTGAATTAAATGTGAAGTCAAAACAAATGGTAAAACCAAAATTCCGTCTAGCAAACATGAAAATAATTCTAAACAAACAAGAAAATGAACCAAGCTACGAATATTATGAGTTTTCACATGTCAATGGCAGTCATGGGCCTCATGGCTAGTATATCAAGTACTCTACTCAGCACAAGTTTGCATTGACATGACAAACAGCCTACCTCCAAACGAATCTTTAAGCAATCTTGTAAGCTTTGAATCGCGAAATGGAACATGAGAACTATTCTCTGCTAGAGAATTAATGCACTTCCCTAGTGCACTAAGCGATAGATTGATACACTTAGCTTCCTCTAACATATGTCCCTCACTTCCTGCCATAAAGGAAAAACAAAAGTTTCACCACATAAGTGGGACTGGCCTCCATATGGATAAGGAAATCACACAATGACTTGTGAGATACACACATATACACAAACATGCATGAACATCTGCACAGACATGATGACATATGTATTATAACAGTTACTGAACAGATAAAAGGTCACAAGTTGGGATGTACACCTGATTTTTGTATACGTTCAGAACCTGCCAAATCTACCACCACAAGTTTGCTTTTCCGGACTAGTGGCTTGAAAGGCTTGGTCAAGTGAGTAGGGTCACCATTTTCACTTGCAACATCATCTTCTCTTCCTAAGACAGACCTCTTAACTTGTACCTGCACCAAGGCACTTGTAAACATCAAGATTCCAGTTATGTTATACCAAAACAACCTGATTACCAACAAGAAACTATGACGTGATCATGACTAAAAAAAATTTAACTACATGAATGAAAATAAACAGATACTAGACAGTCAACTATTCTACCATCAAAATCGCATGACTACGAGACGATTCAGTGTTCAATTTTGTGTTAGCAGCTATACGGTGAGCTTCCCCACATCTTAACAACTCCAGAAAACTTTGCTGATTTTTTATCTCTACGATAGTGGCCCCAGGTACTGAAACATCTCCAGTTCTTGGATCTTCCACAATGGGAATATTATCATTTGCCGGATCAAGCAGATCCTGTAGGGTCTCCATATAAAGCTATAAAAAAAATCGGTAGATAGTAAGAATGTCAAACTTCTGAACAATGACGATCAGATATAAACAGAGAGCATTAAGAAGATCAAACCAATAATGGTATAAGGGTAACAACCTGCAGGTACGATACAGAGATAGAATCAGTCTGGGGAGATATATCTGCCAGAATGTCCTCCATTGAACGAACCATGATTCCACGCTCAGATGTATCTTCTTCTCCAAGCTGTCCAAGAGTAAATGTTTTCCCTGTACCTGTCTGACCGTAAGCCATAACCGTGCCATTGTAACCATCTAAAACACTCTACAATGGTAAAAAGACAACTATTCAGTTGTTGTGCAATGTCAATAAAAGACTGTAGGAAAACACGACAAGGACTATAATAGAGAACAAAACCTCCACGACAGGCTTGGCAACAACTTCATAGACACGCTTCTGCGATGCATACTCCGTGAGCACGTCATCAAACTCATAGGTATCCAAATCCCAATTGTTCTTTCTAAGTTTCAATCTTTTAAGCTGCAGTTGAAGTAGAACAAATATCAAACACTAATAGGTACCCCACAAACACCAAAAATCCAGAAATAAAACCTTTAAAAGATACAAACCACCGGCATTCCCAAAATTAAACTTCGAAAAACGCAACAAAAACAAATATTAGCAATTACCTCTGGCTGCAACTCCACACAGTCAGCAAAATCAGCATCAGCCATCATCTCCTCCGCATTTCTGGGCCGCAATCTTACAGCTACTCGAACTCTTCCGGGTACTAATCGATTCGAAAACACACAATCAACAGGCATGCAAGCAAAATTTCATCCTCATTTGGATTTGCGTTTCTTATTCCATTTATCCATTTTTTCCACTTATAATCCACATTTCAAACATTTATTTAAATGATTAATTGCATTAATGTTTCCATTTCCCCAAAATTTGAATCCCACTTGGGGAAAACAAAAACTGACCTCCGTCATCCTTGGAAGCTGCGGTGCCAAACAGCGCCGGGCTGCTCCGGCGCACGGCGGATCCGGGAGATTGAGAAGGAGGGAGCCTGGACTTGAACGACGACGTTCTGAAATTGGCCGGGCGATCCAGCTTCACGGCACCCCTCGGCGCGACGCCGTTTCGCGAAGACATCGACTACAGTACTGCAGCGAGATTTCACGGACGCATTCAGTGTGCTGCTCTGCTGCGTGTGTGTCTGGTGTTCCGGGGGTTTGATGATTTCAAAGTGGGGTGTTGGAGGAGACTGAGAGGTAGGGAGAGAGGTGGGCAGTGGGGCCCGGTCGGGGCCAGTGTAAGGAAAAAAATTTATTGTGATGAGAACACAGTGATACATCACATGTTTTTATGCAAATGGTAGAAAATTTTAATTTTTAAGTTATTAACTTTTTAACATACATAGATATGTGATGTCTCATGTATTGATTACATTGAAAAATCCCTCTACTTTAAAGGAGGAGAGGAGACAAAGAAAGTTGCAGATTGGTGGGTCCCGCTGCTTTGTTTGTTTTTGTTCGAAAAATTAAAAATTGAAGGGAGGATAAGTGAAATTACGGAAATGTCCGTCTTTGTCATTACTATGACATTGCTTGTTCGGGTGTCTAGATATGTGATTGATCATCTACCCTAAAAAGAATCATGCAACTCTCTTTTAGACCTATTTAATCGGTGGGTTAAAACTTAAAAGTTTAGATTATAAACTCTCCCCCCAAACTTGCTCCAATATTTGGGCTTAAAATTAGTTTTGGTGAGTTTTGGATTAAAACTGATTTTATGGCAAACATCCGTACCAAATTCACTTTTCTCATACAATTCTTCCTTCTTCTTTTTTCTTTCTACCCACTTCCAAAACTATTTCTTACCATTTCAATTTTTCAAGATGGCAAGAGATCGTATTAGATGACCTAATTAGTCAAATGATGAAGATGTTGCTTTGTGCTTAGCATGGATTTGTAATAAAAGATGGTGTTGTTAGAATGAATCAAACTAAAATAGTTTTATGGCTAAAATCATTGAGAATTCAATTCCAATTACAACACCAACCAAAGGGAAGTTGGTAGTGTATAGATGGGTGAAGATTATCAACAAAGCGTGTATTTTATGGAAGGGAAGTTTGGAGAGAGCCGTGGTTGACATGGCTAGTGGAAGGAGCGCCCAAGAAGTGGTGATCGTCTCCCTTCATAGTTCATTTCTCATGTACACAATCTTATTTTGCAACTAATTGGTCTTTATGTATTTCTTGCATAGGGTGACAAAGTAATGGCAATTTACAAGACAAGAACTAAACCTAAAAACCAAACTTCTAAGTTGCATCATGCTTTGGGCGTCTTCAAGGATTATCCCAGGTGGGGAACCAATGTGAATCAACAATGGAAAAATTATTTGCTAGTGAACCCTCAAGCGTAATGTTGGCAATCAAAGTGACGTTTTGGTGACCCCATCTTTTTCTATTTCAAGGTCCCCAGAAAGAGATAAGCAAGAGGAAGCAAAGAGAAAAGCGAAGATGCAAGATCTGATTGGTGCAACTCTTAGTTCCGGAGTTGAATAATTGATTGCAAGTCGAGGGGAGACCGAGGAAGAAATGGTTCGAATGTGCTTGCTCTTTGAGAAGCAATTGGAAAAGGAAGATGCAAGAGACCATTTAGAGCAAGAAATGTTTGATTTTGATGTAATGATGGAGGACCTCAACAAATACACTTCAAATAGGAAGAAGTTCTTGCATGATAAGCAAAAGGAAATTATGCAAAGGAATGCGCAAGAAATATCTTTGAGGATGATGATCCATTTCATGTCTATATCTAAGGTCTACCATGAAATTCACCACCAAGTCAAGGCGCAAGTGAATCAAATGATGATGAATATTATTGTGATTAGTAATTGTTGTAAATTTTATGTAGTATTTTAGTTATCGTTTCTATTAACTTTTTTGTAGTATTTTAATTATCGTTTATATTAATTTTATATAGTATTTTAAATATCTGTTGTAAAAAAAATTATATAGTTTATTAGCTATCGTTAATATATTGTAATTTTTATTTTGTGCTAGTGTGATTGAAGCATAATTTGTGATTTTTCAATATTATTGAAATGTGAATATTTTTAGGTTAATGTTCATAAAAATAAATTAGGATAGTCTATATAAAATTTATTTTTAAAAAAGTTACTTTAGCCCAAATTCATTCTTTAGTAATATCGGACTAATAACTCAAACCATCTTTAACCCTTGGGTTAAAACCTAAAATTTTTAACTCAAAAACAGTTTTTCTGCTCCAACCATTATGGTTAGATTTTTAACCTGAGATTATTGAAGAATGAATTTAGGCTAAATTTTTTGTTAAAGTAACTTTAAAAAAAAAATATTATGTAGACTATCCTTATTTAATTTTATGAACATTTTAACTTAAAAATATTTAGATTTTGATATCTTTTTTTTTGGTGAACTTTGATTTCAATAATTTTTTAATTGTTTTAGCCGCTAGATTTAATTTTGGACTGTTAATTTTTTTTTTTTTAACCTTTGATTACCTATGAGTAAATCCCTCCAAAACTAAATGTTTACATTTTTTACTATTATATGTCGATGCATGTGAATATTATTATTAGTCTTTGAAGAGACTTATATCCAATTAAATTATGATGATATCTTGAGTCCATTGGTGATTTATTTCACCACATGGTCATCATACATATCGTATAGTTAGCTACAGGCTTATATTATTTGCAGTTACTTATTTTCTAGTAGAGGTTAGAAATGCTAGTAAACGCTACTCATCAATAAAGTAGACGCCACTTCACCTACTTGCTATACATTTGATTTACTTTGATTAAGTGATTGTTATTACTTTTTTTTTTATATGATGAGGGATATGATTTGAGCATGTTTACTATTATAGTAGTATATTATATGTATGTAGTTTTTACTATATATGTGATTTCAAAACTAGGGTTATTATATTGCAATGGTTTTAACTAGATAAACTTGATCCACTCACGCTTTGTTTTTCAATCCCTCAAGACATAGTGAGAATAAGGAGAACCCCGGAGGTGAAGAGTGGGATTGGCATTAGGCATCCATCCTTTTGGACTTTGGGTGATGATTCCTTTACTGCAGTTTATTCTAGTCTATAATAATTGTATAATCATACTTTCGATTATGCATAGCACTACACTTTTATGTGTTTACTGTTGTGTGAAACTTCTAGCTGCTCTGATATGTGTGATACTGATGAGATCTCATCCATGTACTTGTTTCCCCAAGTGGGGAGGTTGATTAGGAGACTTTGTAGCAGCTTTTATTCTATTAATAATGAACATTTTGGGTCAAATTATATCACATCATAATTATCTTACTATGACTTCGTTATTAAGTTGACTCGTGATGTCATCTTTTGATGGGCCATGTGGTCAATTTAGTGACGGTCAACACATCACGGCCTCGTAACTAGTGCTATTTGGGGTCAGGGTGTGTCAAGACCTTTACTTGTCACTTGCCACCAGGTTCTGTCTAGTCACAAGGAATTTTTACACGCATAATCACTAAGATATGAGAACAAAACAACGATTTTCTTCTATAAATGAGTGTGAAGATTTAAACAGGATATTTTTTTTTCCTTAGTGAGAAAAGAAATATCATCAGTCAATAGATGGTTGGTTACTGTAAGTTCACTTAAAAGTGCTTGTTAGAAACAACGAATCACATAATGCTACAATGACATATAACAAAGTATAATTGTTGAATAGTATAATGCTAAAGATAAGATAAGAGGAAAGGTATATGTAACTCATTTGCTTAAGAATATTCACCCTTACGCTTCAAGTTCCAAGTTTTATTCTCCTTCACCATATCCTTTCAAGTTTTGGCAAGAAATGATATGTGAAACCGTGAACTTGTGTCGCTTTCCATGCTTATGATGCAGAGTCTGCAAGTAGCCAAGAATGGTTCAAGTTTAAGGAAGTTCAAGATAAATCCAAATACTTGAAAGGCACTAAACACATCCGCCCTTGAAACTAAAAAAATGGGTGAACTTTGGAGAAAGCTCCAGAAAAATACAAATAACAATGAGGAGCAAAAGCTAAAATAAGAACTAAGTTATTTAAAATTGTGTTAATTTGTTAATCATGAGGACTGATCTGTGGTTTGATTTCTAAATTTTATGATTTTTTTAGTATAATGATATATTTTACATTAAAAAAAATAAGGAATTTGGCTAAATCACACAAGTAACAACCTAATTTATTATAGAATTTGTCATCTATGAGATCTGAATCAAAAATTTTTCACTTCAAATGAATATCACCAAACCGTAGTAGCGAATAATTCCAAATTATATGATTAGAAGCAAGTACAATGTCAAGGTGGAAAAGGAGGGGACCACAAGGTCCAGCAAATCACATGTAATGACTTTACATGATTGTAATTTAGAGATCTCCTTTGACCAATGATTTCGCCCTTAAAATATTGCTAATAGTTTCACTCTTAAATATTGCTAATAATTTCACTCTTAGGAGTTCGGATCTTGCCGGATTCTCTTTGTAAGGATTTTGGATATCCGTTCATCGTACATTGTGCAATCAGAAATCATTTTAAATATTTCTATTTAAAAATAAACATAAATAGTACTTTGATAAAAACTAACCGCACGATATACAATGAACAGACACGATTGATGAATTCCCAGAATCCTCATCAAAATGATATGAAGAGGATCCTTATCAAAAGAATCCGGATAGAATCATCATCAAAAGGATCCAGAGAGAGGATCAGTTCTAATTTCACCATGCATAAATATGACCAACAAAAAAAGGGAAGAAAATGGAATGATTGGATTGAAAACTTTTTTAACTTTTCTTGGTCTGACTGGTCCATTATTCAGTTCAAATTAGGCCTAGTTAAGTTGTGTTGGTGTTAAAACTCGAATAGAGTCCGACTAGGCTCAACACGTGATTTGCCTCGAGCGTTGCTTTCGATCTCGGTGCCACAAAATGGCTCGAGAGAAAAAGAAAATAGGCTTGCCACCATTGGAGGTTGTCAATAAACAATGTGTGTTTAGATTTCTGAAAATTTGACTTTAGTCTTTGGAATTCAATTTTCTCCACATAAAACCCAACGTAAATTTTTTGCTTGAATAAAACTCATTGACTAGACTCTACATAAGCAAATTTATTAATTATGTTTGACTTTACCCATTTAAAATTTTTCGGATGCTTAAAACACCCTTATTTAATGTTTAATATACACAATTAATTCTATGCAATTTGTAAAGGGGAATTAATGATTTTACAAAAATAATATTTTGCATATAAATGTAGGGATTTGTTGGTTAGTTTGGCTCTCGAATTCCAATTTACCATTACAACATGTCCATATTATATATAGGTAAATTATTGTACTTTAAAATATATAAAAAAAATTGTTGTCAAAGTAAAAATATATAAATTAAAGGAGATAAAAATTGCAGGTAAATTAATTTGATAAAGAAAAAGAAAATAACCAACTATAGGTAAATTATTTACATATACAGTTTAGATATCTGATTCACATAAAAAAAATGTAGGTAAATCACGTACATAATTTACCTACTATTATTGAAATTTACCTACTATTATTGAAATTTTCCTACTTGCATAATTTAGGAAAAATGCCAACAAAACATGAGAATATTATTTGCATATATCTTAGGTAAATTGCCAAAAGAAATATGAGAATATTTTATTTATATCCTGTCGGTAAATTACAGATAATAGGGCAATATTATTTATATAGGTAAAGTAAGGAGAATAATTTACACCGAATAATAATGTGATCATGATTTAAAGTAATGCACTAGATTGTTGTAGAAATTAAAAACAAATAAATAGAAAAAACGTCAGGATGATTAATCAGGTTTTAAGGCCCTTGATTGAAGCTAATTTTCAAGTGTGGGTTGTGGCAAAAATTGTAAATAATTTGTCCTAGTAGGTTACTTATATTCTTATGTGGTAGTTTATTTGACTATTGGGTTTTTGTTGGATGCATGTTTAATTATATGTGGGTTTATGTTTAGAAATCATGATTTTTCAGGACCAATAACTAATGAACCCGTTTAGATTTATGTTAGGTTTGGACGTAGATATGACTTCTTAACCAAAGTGACTAATGTACTTCGAATGGAATGTTAGTTCAGTTGAGTTTTTTTCTCATGACATAAGTAAACGAGGACTTAAATCCAATGCGAAATGAGTGTTTGCCAGGTTGTAAATGAAAATATGATAATAATAACGGCATAAAACTGAATGTAACCATTGCATGATAAAATCGGGATTACAATTGCTTACAAAAGAAATTCGTGGTTGATGAGCCAGTCTACATAACTAAAAAGTAAATAGACTTCGAAATGTTAAAAAAAGAAAGTAAAATCTAACAAGATTCAGGACATAGAATGCAAAATAATGTTAGAGGAGTCTATCAATATCACTGATGTTAGACTAGACTAAAGGGAAACATTGCCTCAAGGAGATGGTCTAGGTTGGTTGGAATGTTCATCAACAGAATTATCAGACTAGAGGTGTTTTTCAGAACGATTGGATCGAAAACAACGCTTCCAATTTTCGTTATAAAATTTCAAAATTGGATCACAATTTTTTTTCTAAACAAACGATATAATCTACACTAAGAGGTAGGAGAGTAGGCTAAGCCTCATAATGGGCTAGCAATAATATGATTCAAAATTTGCCTTTGGCGAGAATTGAATCTAAGACCTCTTACTTACAAGTTGAAAGTGAAGAGAAATATTACTAGACGTAGTACTAAGTGGCAAATCAGATCACAATTTTTAAATTTAAAGTTTTCGACATATTCTTTGAAATTTTGGAACATAATTCAAAAAAATCATATATTTATAATCTTTTAATATTCTCTTTCATATATGCAATTTTTTAATATTCTTTAACATTTTCATATGTGCAGTTTATTGTTCTTACTTAGGATAAGTGTATGAACAACAACCGAATATCAGATTAATCATGCTAACTCTAAATACTCCATTAATTTTATTCTCTGCAACAACTAAAACAAATTCCAAGCTACGTTTATTTTCCCAAATGGCGCTGTTGGTGAGGAGTTCTATGAAAACCCAAGTAAAACCTCAAACCATCTTTCTCTATTTAGTTTCATTTTCTTTGCATATTCTCACCAACCAAACATCAATGTTTATCTCCAAATTTAAGGGACTCTTGTTCTTAATATAAAAATAATGAACAAAACTATATCCAAAACTAACCTTAAAATACAAAAGTTAATGACAAAATTTATAACTTGAGCAATTAACTATAAAAAGTTAAAATATGTTGGAAGTTTTTTATATTGTAATAAGTTAGAAACACTTCGGAAAAATTTAGGTCATAAATTTCGAAATCTCTAAATGCATTCCAATTTTTTTAAAAATATTTGGATTTGAAATAATACAGTTTGTGTCACATCCCGGGCTCGACTCCAACGTAGCACGATATTGTCTGCTTTGGGCCCCGACCACACCCTCACGGTTTTGTTTATGGGAACTCACACGAGAACTTCCTAGTGGGTCAGGTGACGAAGCTAGCACAGCTCGATTTAAAGTTCAAGTGGACTTTCTGAGTCGGGGTGTGTCAGTTTGTGAATCGAAAAGTTTGCTATCTGAATTGGGAACACCATCCCAACTTGCACTCTTATATTATGTTCATTTTGAGTTGAGCTCAATGTCTCGCTCGGCCCAAGCCCAATATTTTGGGTCCAAACAATATGTTTAATATAAAAATAATAAACAAAATTTATCCAAAACTAACCTTAAAATACAAAAGTTGATTACATAATTAATGATTTGAGTAATTATCTATAAAAGGTTGGAATATTTCGGAAGGTTTTTTTATCGAAATAAGTTTGGAACACTTTGAAAAATTTCGGATAAAAAATTTGAAAAATTTCTAAGTCTCTAAATGCATTCTAATTTTTAGAAAATATTCAAATTTTAAATTTACAGTTTGGAATTTGAAAATTTTAATTTCAGAATCGAAAACACCGTCCCAACCTGCACCATGTCAACCATTGATAGAAGAAAATGTTGATGTGACTCCTCTTGCATTATTAAGATAAAGAAGGAAGAAGAAAAAACCACCAATGATCCAATTGTTGGTACTAATTGTTGGTACTAATTTTTTATTTAACAAGTCCATGATGCAATGGTTGATAGCATAACAACATTACACTCCTTATCTGTCTGACTCGCACACACTTTTCAACATATAAAATCGACTATAGTATGGAGAGACATCAAAATGACCAAATTTATTTTTTAACAAACGATATTATTTATATTAAGGTAGTGAGGGTGAGCCAAGCTTCAAAATATGATTCAAATTCGCCTTTGGCTGGTGAAAATCGAATCTAAGATTTTTCTCTTACAAGTGAAATGAAATACTACAAGACTGTCGTACTAAGCGGCCAAATGTACCAGATTTAGCAACCTAAAATAAATATAATGTATTTTCATAAAGAAAATAAAATTTTGACAAAAAAGAAAAAAGAAAAAAAAAAGAATATAAAATAAGCAATAAAGAAATAAATGCACGTGTCGGTCTCCCAGTCCACTCACCGCCACCCTACAAAACCCTAATAAACAACCCGCGCACACAGAGATATACACAGTCGCGCAGCCTCCATTGTCCGCTTATCGACCCGTGCCCGAATACATGCCCCGCCGTTCCAACCTCCGCTCCTCCCTCCCCAAAACTCCTTCCACCTCCACCACCACGACGATTATCACGATTATTTCCATTGCCATTAACGCCACCACCATTCACTGAAATTTCAACTCTGACATTGCGTCCTCTTCTTCTCACAGAACTTCTAGCTTTCGAATTCGAGCTATCTCTCCGTCGGGTCCGTGTTAATGGCTACGTTGAAGAGCTGCAGCGTGTGTTTGCGAGAGTCTGCTATCCAGCTTCCGCGTCACCATCTTAGCGATAACTACAAGAGGTTTATTTTCTTAATATTTAATTAATTAGTTGTTCAATTTGTTGATTATTTTTTTCAATTTTTTTCTCCATATAGTTTTGTATTCTGCTTTATTAAATTAGATCCGAATCAATTTAATTTCTTGTTTTTTATATGTTGGCGATAAATAGGCGGGATACAAAATGGAGGTGTCCACGGGCAGCTGTAATTCCCAATTTTCATCTGCCAATGCGTAGTTTTGAAGTTAAAAACAGGTAATTTTCCATGCATGTTAACCTGGGTTGAAGGATTTGAAATTGGAGATTGGGTTCTAAGAATCTTTGATGGTTCTAAGAATCTGGGTCAATAGAATTAGTCTATTAGATTTGATTAGAAGAACAAAATGCATGAAGAGTTTAATAGATTAGTCTATCAGATTTGTTAGAAGAACAAAATGCATGAAAAGTTCATGAGAATTGATTATTGCTCTTCTTTTCCGGGTTTTCGAGTAAAATCGTATGTTATAGTTCTTTCGTAGTGTTGTATGTTTTTAGAGCTCAGAAGGGGAGTTATTTTTAGCACAAACTTGTAACTTTATTCATATTTGTATGCCCCCTGTAAATACATATGATTAAATTGTTCTGGCTTTGAGCAAGTCCTGCTAGCCTGAGTCTCATACTCTATTTACCATACCTATTGAAAAAAGTGGTTGGTCCACTGTTTAATTCATGTAGTTATCGTGATTTTCTGTTGTTTCAGTACTGTGGTTGATAAGAAATCGTGTGCTTAGAACAGCTACATTATTTTTCAGGACATCGGTGGATGACATAAAGTCCATTAGGTTGATAACAGCCATCAAAACCCCATATCTACCAGATGGCAGATTTGATCTTGAAGCATACGATGCTTTGGTCAATATGCAGATTGAAAATGGAGCTGAAGGTGTGATTGTTGGTGGCACGACTGGTGAAGGTCAATTGATGAGCTGGGATGAGCACATAATGCTCATTGGCCACACGATCAACTGCTATGGTGGATCGATTAAGGTAATAGGAAACACAGGAAGTAATTCTACTAGAGAAGCAATTCATGCCACCGAACAGGGCTTTGCTGTTGGAATGCATGCTGCCCTTCACATCAATCCTTATTATGGGAAAACCTCATTGGAGGGATTGGTTGCGCACCTCGATAGTGTTTTATCTATGGGACCTACTATTATTTACAATGTGCCATCACGAACCGGCCAAGATATCCCTGCAAGCGTGGTTCACACGTTGGCACAAAGTCCTAACTTCGCAGGTATCAAGGAGTGTGTTGGAAATGATCGGGTTCAAGAGTACACTGGGAAGAAAATTGTGGTATGGAGTGGGAATGATGACGAGTGCCATGATTCTAGGTGGAGCCATGGAGCTACCGGAGTTATATCTGTTACTAGTAACTTGGTTCCAGGTTTAATGCGTCAGCTCATGTTTGGGGGGAAGAATCCGTCTCTGAATGCAAAAATTATGCCTCTGGTTAAGTGGCTTTTCCAAGAGCCAAATCCCATCGGCTTAAACACAGCACTTGCCCAACTTGGTGTTGTGAGGCCGGTCTTCAGGCTGCCATATGTACCTCTTCCTCTTGCAAAGAGGGTAGAGTTTGTGAACTTGGTTAAGCAAATTGGGCGGGAGAATTTTGTCGGAGAAAAGGATGTCCGGGTTCTTGATGATGATGAGTTCGTCTTAGTCAGTCGATATTGAGGTAGTTTTCTTGTCTAGGACTTTTTTTTTCCTTGGGATGCTGAGTCTTTTTCCTTCAGAGTTTATAAGTGATGTTTTCTTTGGTTTTTGCTTGGCTTTAAATTACAGACATGAATGCTTTTGGGGCTGTTATCATATGAAGTAGTTCTATGTCGCAATAAGAAATGGTTCTTTGTTTATCACATCGACTCCTCTTTTTTTTTCCTATAATTTTTATTGTTACAAGCGATATTTTACAGTAATCTACACTAAGTGAAGAAGGATGATTTGAACCCAAAACGCAGGTGGTTGAGAAGCCCTAACGATAAGGACAATCCACCGCCTGCATCTCTCACATCTACTTTGGCAGGAGCCTTGTGACTGAAATAATTGTAGCTATTGTTTCCTTGTCATTCACATGCCATTAAACCCTATCGTTGAGCCGTGACATTCACATGATTATTGCTTCAACTTTAGATGATATGTAAGTGTGACACTACGTCCTTTAGTACTTGTAGATGCAAATTTGGGCGGAATGATTTCAAATCTAGGGATTCGGTTCAAATTGTTCTTTCGGACCATGTACCGTTCGTGTATGCCAAGATTTGAAATAACAAGGAAACGAATGGGTTTCAAATAATTCCTGAAGAGAAACTTGTGTAGGCTGCATGAGTAGGGCAGTTTTTTCACCGGGGGAGACCAGTGTGAGATGAAAAAAAATCAAAAGAACATTCATCCTTGGGCTTAGTTGGGGTTCCAATATCATCAAACACTTAGCCCACCACTCATCATGAGGTGACATAGCAGCCCAGCCCATACGAGTCCAAATGGCGGGAAAGGGAGGCTCAGGCTCAGTTTGTTAACTAATTTCATGATGCTTAATTTTCTTTTAGTTTATTAACGTGCAAGCTAATAAGGGATCAGTTAATAAAGCTTTGAGAAAACTGAAAGTACTTACACCAACGTTTGGCATAAATAATTAAAATGTAACTATGGCATTCAATTTGCCTTTAGTTTTCCTTCTTTTTGGCTGGCCCTGGAAAAGTCTCATGAGCAAAAGACGATGGTTGGAGGGGAAAATTTTTAGATTCTCCAACAAGCAATTTTGTAAACCATCTTCACTTGTCACCAATGAGAGCATGTCGGGTGAGTACTTGCAAAAGAAGCTCCGACACTTAGCGATTGCAATAGAATTTAAAGCGATTGTGTTCCCTTCCCTCCTGTGCTTGCGAGTTATATGGCCTTTGTATAGACATTGAATCTTGGACTCCTAGGCCCATGATCCTTAATTTTCTCCATAATCCATATGTAATTAACTCCATCACGGACATTTGGTAGTGGACGATCAAGCAGGCTTTGCTGTTGTTGAATCCCATATCGGCTAGAGAGAAAGGAGAAAAACAATTTAAATAGAATTATCTTATTTTAACTAACATTGAAGTTTTTTGTGGTAAAACTCCACACCTGATGAATTGTGTAAGTAGTAACTACCAAATTTGAGATAAAATCGGTGTTGTCGGAAATGGACCTTTGACCCGACTCTGATAATTATTTTTTCAACCCATGTATTTTTTGGTTGCTGTTAAATCAAACTCAAGTATCAGAAGATAATAGACACAATTGTATACAACCTTGTAACACTCAAGAATCTTTCGTTTGTTCCGGGCCCCAAGACACATGAAAACAAAAAAAAACAAAAAAAAAACAAAACAAAAAAAATGAGAAGGAAATAAATAAAACATTGCAGTTACACAAGGATACTTGCGAGGATTTGTATATACTACTATTCTTAATTTGGATCTATTTGGAGGCACATAAATGGTAAATCGTCCATACCATACCATACCATACCGTATTTTATTATTTTTGCAACCTAAACCAAAATTAACCCACATATTAAGTGAGGTGGGGGAATTGATCCCTCCACAAGGAGATGAAAGAACAAATTAAGGAGAAAAGAGGCGCCCTATTACTCCATTTCCTTCTTGTTTAAGTTTTCTCATGAAAATTGCAAATTAATTAAGCATTAAATACGTGTTTAGATAATTAGTCTAGTACTGATGATCGTGTCTGAGCTTCATGGGACTCCTAGTGCATCTGCATGCATATTATACTGCTGCTGTTGTTTTGTTGAGAAAAAGCTGCTTTTGTTGGAGCTGTGAAAACAAGGCTTGGTTTTCTTGGACAAGAAGAAGTGCTTTTCTCCTCAGCTTATTATTCTCTTCTATAATACTCTGGTTCTCCATATACAGCTTCAAGTTCTTCATTTCCATCTCTACCTTTGCCCCTCCGGTCTCTCCCTCTTTTGCTGCCGGTCCAGCTGGTTTTCTCTTCCAGTTCCTGTGTTAACATAACAAACAAAATTTAAACACCTTCTGTTAATCTCTTTGATAATAAGAACAAAGAATAATAGAGAGAGAGAGAGAGAGAGAGAGAGAGATGGGTTGTGAAGGAACAAACCTGTTAATTAGGCGGCGAACTCGAAAGCTGTGTTGCTTTGATGGCCTTCGAAGGCGAAAAGAAGAGTATAGAGGACTAGACGGAGACATTTCTGAGTTCAAACACATTGTTTTCTTTACAATTCAGTTGCTGCCTCTGTGAGTGAGAGAGAGAGAGAGAGAGAGAGAGAGAGAGAGAGAGAGTTTAAACTTGGAGAAGAGAAGGCTAATAAAATTGTGGTTTGCGAAAAATAGAGTTCTTGGACTTTAAATAGGAGAGAAGTCTGGGTAGAACCAAGGAGGAAAAGATGAGCCACATAGCTATTTTTATGTATCTGTACTTGAGAGAGAGAGAGAAGGCTTTCCATGGCAATGATGGCAAAAGGAGTCATGATTACAAAGGCCAAGTATAGATTGAAATTAAAATGCAGAGGAGAAGATAAGAAAAAGAAATGATGTTAATAAGTGATAGTCTAAATAAAGTTAATATACTAGAAGGTATCCAACTCTAGTGTAAAATGGAAGAGTATCGCTGTGGTCAACTAACCTAACTTGTATGTGCCGATAAAGACACAATTCATCCAATATATATTTGTTTCTTTCATCATGTGACGTGTGACATGAAAACTTTACCACATAAAACTCAGGCTCCGTGAATGAGAAATATAATTGTTAAAACTGTTTGCGAGAGAGTATCTCTCCCTCCCAAGGCTGGCTTAGAGTCGAAGACTCTTTCATGGATGGGGATCGATGCTTAAGATTAATTGAGAGGGGTTTGGGTTTTGTTTAGGCACATGGGAAAGTGACTATTACCCCAACTAGGGTTAGCAACTTTGTTGAAATTCAGAAGTTTCCCCCTTCAGTTTCAACTAATACGGTTTTGGTCCCTTTTCACAGAGTCCTGAATGTGGAAGATGACTTGTTATGTCCATAGTCATGTGCTGCAATCAGTAAACGAAATCATTACTGCAGAAATCAAGAGTTTGAATAGTCTTGCTTGGCAGCTTGAATTCACTCCTCTCTTCTTTGTGTACTGAGAAAACAATGGATGAATATTAATCTTAAAACTACAAGAAGGTAATTAATTTGTTTACAATGCTTAATAATTTTATTTTTGAAACTTAAATTAAATCACAAAGAAGATCCTTTGCGGATTATTAAACTATACACATCAAAATCAGTTCTCGGTATAACTTTTCTTGGATAGGGGACCAACCGGTGGTTTCATCACAACAGTCCATCATTTCCGGGAGCGGCGGGGGGCGGGGGCAGGTGCAAGAAAAACTCACAAAGGCATTTCAACCTCTCCTTAGCCACTATATTACGATTCACGAACGTCAAAAATCAAATATAGGATTTGTCGTATGAAGTACAAACTTGAAATTCATCACTAACCACTAGATCACCCTACGATTAGTGTCATTGATGCTTTAAATAAAGAAGAATAGGAAACCCGAATACATGGACAATTGCTTTAATTAAGTCAATGGCTGAACTGAATGGGTATGTGAGTATTATGTAAATTTCTACGTGAAATTATGACGGATAATTAGCTGGATTTTGCATTTGGTCAAAAAGTTGGTGTTTGTCTTAATTAGTTGTTATCTTAATTAAGGCATGGTTTTGAAAGTAAAGGTTGTGTTTGAAAAGTAGACGTCACCTTTAAAATGCTCTTTTGCTTTTACACGAGAACAAAATGTCTGCAATTGCATGCCATGACACATGTCGTAGGGTCAAATATTCAAACGTGTAAACTCAAACTTAGGGATAATGTAATCATTTCCTTTCAGTATAATTTGCCCTAACAAGAATATTCTATCCTAATTAAATCCCAAAGTACCAAATATTTTAGGAGCATTTTTCTCACCATCATAAATTAATATGTGTGCTCATTATACATTTTATCATTTGTCACGTGTCATTTTACTTAAATCTAGCTAACTTTAATATTATATGTCTTCTTTCAATTTTGAAAAATATTGTAAACACGAAAATTCTATGACAAATGAAACAAGAACATGTGCACAAAGAATATTTGTATTAGTGAGTTTACGGTTACAATCTTTTTACAATTTGAATCCTCTAATTCTATCTCCAAACATATAAAGTGTGTAGGTAGGGGTTGTTGATCCAAGGGTTGTGATGACTTGATCTTGGATGAACGATTGTCTCAAGGATTTGCCTTGTGGTGAGGGAAAAACCGGCACGTGTGGTGGTGTTTGATGATTCTTCAAAGGTTTTGGTGAATAAAGTAGAGGGCTTTTTGAAATTTTATGAGTATTTGGGAATTTGTATGCTTGAGAGATTTAGAGTTTCAAAGATTCAGCATCTGGGGGTGAAATGATTTTTGGACCCCTTTCTTTGTTTTGGAGCCTCCTATTTATACTTTCCAAGCTTTACCTGTCAAAGAACCAAGACTTGATTTGTGTCTTGGTTCGTAATTTGTGAGTTTACTCCTTTAATTAATATTTGATTTAATCAAATAAAAATTAAATAAAATTAAACAAATCAATCTTTCCAATTTGACATTTTCACCAAGTGTTTACATGTGTCATTGCATGCCACGTAAGTCCTCGCATGCCGAAATTTAATATTTTGGTGAAGATTTATTTTCACCGAAATTTGCATGTCTACAATATTAACTAGGGTTATGTGAAAGGACACGCGATAGGTGATGAGGTTGGTAAGCATACACCATAGATATATTGAGCATACATTATAGTTATGGTGGTGAGCAAAACTGCTCCAATGTTTTTAACTAGATGTACGGTTTTGTCTCTGAATATTGGTTTTTGATTGCTTAACCTTTTATTTATAGGAAGGAGCGAAAAAAGCTGGACTCCAATTTGTGTTTGGTAACCCAAGCAAACCCAAGTTTTTTTTCAAAATCACGGTCATTCAAAGTAGAAAATGGAAATCTACCTCATCTACTTTCAAAAACCAGCAATTTTTTTATTTATTTTTTTTATTTTTTATTTTTATCAAAACACGGGTGAACAATAATCACCAATGAATTTTCAATGTGTCAATAGTACCATCTCTCACCATCGCACTTTCTGCGCATCAAACATATTTCTCCGTCTCCCAGGATCCCAACTCGATCTCTTCCTCCCTCGTCTCCCACTCGAGAAATCAATGGACACCAAATTCAATCAACAATTGCGAGAGGCACAAATTCAATCAAAATTGAAAGAGGCATAAATTCAATCAAAATTTGGGGATTTGAGAGAGGCATAAATTAAACCAATTGAGAAGAATATGAACCGAGAATTTTATCGACCTTGAACTCGTCGCTGGCTCTTGCTTCCTTCGGTGCGGATATTTACCGAACCGGACATGCTCTCCAACACTCACGCTGTTCCAACACTCATGTTGTCCCACCACTCACGCTGTCTTCGGCTTCAAACTCGACACCGTCCCTAGCTTTCTTTTCTTCTTTTTAGATCTTTTATTTTTTGAAAGTGACACAGTACTATGATGTTTTAGAATTTATACACCCGACCCCATTTAGTAGAAAAATGTTTTGTTGTTGTTGTTGTTGTTGAGGATGAGCAACAGGATTATGAAACAAAATAATGGAAAACTAATGAAAATGACTTGAAAATTTTGAGTGTTAACGATAAGGACAAAATAAAGGGTAAAATGAATAGTACCAGGTTTGACTTTTTAGTGTAAAAATGTGGTTTTTCATTAGAGTGAACAGTACCGTGAACTTTTCATTAAAACTTCCATTTGAAATAAAGGATAAACATGATAATATCACATAATCACTATGTTTATTTTGGTCATTTTATAGTTACAACAATTTTACATAAAAGTTTATCAAACAATCACACACTGATTTTTTTTGTTAATTACCAAGCACTTTACTACTTCATTTTATAGTTGTTTATTCTCATAACACATCAAAAACAATTTCACATCAATACCAAATTAGCCTTGAGAAAGATGAGTAGAAGTAAAGAAAATTTGAAATCAATAATTCAAGTAGTTCAGACTGTTAGATATTTGGATGGAGAATTTGAAATAAAACCAATTAGATCCTTTATATGCTCCCGCTCCTGTTTGTCTCAGCAGAATTATATGAGTTCAAGAAAAATATAGTTCAATGTTACCATTTGAAAAGGAAGAACTAAACTAAAGTAGTATGAAAATTACAACAGTGCCCATATCGTTACGCATTTTATCAATTATATTCGGCTAAGAAAATGCACAACCACTTGCAACTGCAATTTCACTTTAATTTATATTATTATATATATTATAATATCTCTAAACTTTTTAAAGTTATCATGTGGCTTGATCACCTAAAAGAGAATCAATTAAGCGATCAATTAATTAACAACTCAAAAGTTTGTCTGTTTTTAAAACAAGGTATCTACTGCAGGGGAAAGAGTTACATACACCCCTCACATTGCCATGGTGGTGTACTGAGTGCATTTAAATCTCTCTCTTATTGTAGGGTTTTGAATCAATTAGTCTAAAATTTATGCCCTAAACATTAATTTTTTATTGTTTGACATTTATTTTGGTGTCCGGTTCAGTTTTTTTTCGGTTTTCGATTTTTTAAACCCACCCCTAAGCTAAATGCAAACCAAGAAGTAGCAACTTTTTTCAACATATTATTCATGCCATATGATTTGATATATCTGATGAAGTTAGTTTGTCTAAAGCCACCTTTCCCCAAGTCCAACTTATGACAAAGACTCATATGAACTGTCACGTGCAAGTCACATGTGGCCATTTTGTGTAGGGCCTTAGAGAGAAGCCAAGGGAAAATGAGCAGTTTATCGGAAGGGATGCCTAAGCATGGAGGATGAAGGGAGGGAGTAGTCAATGTTGTTAGGTCCTCCCCTTTTGTCTCTTTTCTTGGTGTAATTGAGTACCAAAGCCATACTCATTTATTTGGAAAATGAACCCCATTTTTGGCTTCATCTTCTTCTTCACCATCATGATCATTCTCTCTCTCTCTCTCTCTCTCTCTCTCTCTCTCTCTCTCTCTCACCCATTGGATTGGTAATATCATCATTATCAATGGTAGTGGTGGTATTTTGTCCAACTTCAGCTCAGCCACTTCACATGGCATCCTTAACTCTACGTGGTTGGAGACACTTAAACTTGACAGCCCATAATACAATTGGGGACCAAAACTCTCACATTCTTGTCACAACCCTTATGATTTGCTTGCTACAACGAGCCATATTCGATGGATGGATCAAACCGTATGCTTTTGTTTTGTTTTCACAAAAATATGAAGCTATACATACCATCATCATTCTTCACGATCTTCCTCTGCTAAAGAAAGAAAGTCCGTCATTGAAGCAGAAATTGTTCTCTCGTCAGACTATAAATTTGAACTTAAATTTTGTTGATTTTGATCAAAATGTTTAGTCTAAATTCCTTGTCTAACAATACAAACACAAATTTATCTGCATGCAACATAAGTCTGAAAACAGACCATTACTGTATTGAAAATACCAAAAAAAAGGGCCAAAACAAAGGATGCGTACTATTTACATTGGACCATAGGGTGTATTCTATGTTATCATATCCTTTGTGTAGGTGGTATATAGTGTGAACATTATAGGCATGTATTAGAGTGGACATAGAACTGGGTACTAGTCCCTCATGATGCCCCTTTGGACATGGGATATGTTTAGCCATTTGATTATTAGGGCTGCGACCAGAGCAAGCTTCACTCATTTCTTGTGTTACTATCTCCTCAGTACTTATATGCCACACCATGAGAGGATGAGATGAAGATAGTCAACAAGCAAATGAAGCTCCCACCATTTTCAAAAATGATCTGATTGCTTTCACTTATTGGTTTTTTTCTTCTTACAACTTTCGAATCTTTTCTTGTTTTTCTTTGGAAGTTTTAATTTGGGTGATCGATGGGCATGATGCATTTCAAGTGTCATATATACCAATTCATCACCTTCAATATTTAGTTTGCTAGACATGGCTCCACTATTGAGAATAGTTTAGGACACTTGGTAATTAATTGATGCACAATAGGGACCCCAATATTTGGTTTGGATCATATATATCATGAGACAAATGTGTTCACAGATGATTTTGCTTTAGTAAGACGTACTTATAATCCGTCTTTTGTATGATTTAGAATTTCTCAGTTTTGTACAAATTTAAAGTCCGACCTAAATCTTTTTTATAATATGTTTTCCAATTAAAAAAGAAATTAAACTCTCTCTTTTCAGTTGTTTATTTTCTTTTGTGAACTCTCCCTTGGCAATCCTTCATGTGATCAAAAAGGTTGAAAACATGTGAGATGTTGGTTCTAAATGACCACCTTTTAACTACTTCAATTTTTTTTGGTAAATTCTATTGAAATTTGTGGTCACATAATGCAAGTTTTTGGTACAAGTTATAATTATTAACCTTATAGTTTTCACTTTATAGTGTAATGAAATTTCACATGCATGAACTATATAAGTATTATGATCTATGAGTGTTCAGACACGTCTCACCATCAAGCAATCTGGTCCACATCACCATCGACATTTTCTTGCAATTCAAATTCGATCCATCTCCCACTCAATTGCCTACTGCGCAATCGATTGCCCTTAAGATTGCCACACTGCATACTCATCATGATATATATATATATATATATATATATATATATAAACACACACACACACACACCATTCAAGGGAAGGAATCCCTATTTTGTTCAAAAATTGAGGATTAGTTGTGGGATCCACTCCACATCGAATTTCAACAATCCGAATCATCTATTTTTTAAGACTCGATTCATAGATCATCCTTGCAAAAATTCAATTCAATCCGAAACCATTTGCTTATTTAATTGTCACGGTGAAATTTCAATGTTTCTTAGATAATAAAGTGTTCATCAATTTCTTTGAACTCAATTAGATGTTTCAAATATAACCGATTTGGCTAATATTTTGTAACAATGATCTATGTCGTTAAAGTTCGATGTGGTGTGAGTCTCACAACTAATTCTCATTTTTATAATAAAAATAGAAATCCATTTTCTTAAAAGCTTCCTCTCTGTGTGTGTATTTGTATATAATATATATATATATATATATATATATATGTATGTGTTGTATATCTCTCTCTACCTCCTCATTACAATTTAGAAGAGACGTACAGAGTACTTATCCACTAGACTATCTCAGTTCAAAAGAAAGAGATGCCACTACGAAAAGAAAAAGTGGTATCTAAATTTTACTGTTGGTCCTTATAGTTTTAGTGTTTTTCACTTCGATCCTGTAACAGCAAGATGAGCAAACCTCGACGTGGTGTTGGCCAAGCCCTCTCACGTTCTAGTCAATTATTTGTATCAATGTCAAAGCAGTAAGTTTAAGTATGAGACTGAAGCATATACCTTTGGTTTTTAATGAGGAACTTATTTATAACGTGACTTTTACCACCCTAGTCAGTGGAGTTAAGGTCAAAAATACTAAAAAGATATGTGGACATGAACAAGAATTAAGTTGAACATAAATGATTGGATGATAGAGTTGTGGAAAAGTATGTTTCTTCTATATTTTTGACCTTAAAACTCCATAGAACAACGTACTAACTACAATAACCGATGAGTGGGCATTTATCTGTTTTCATCATCTTTGTGGACACGTGGTGAGACTCTTATTTTTATGGCCTTATTTACTTCTGCAATTTGTCTCAATTAAAATTATAGATTAAAATTTGTCAAGAGAGCACTCACATGTCTCATGTGTGGCTATTTCGACATTCAAAATGTCATGAAATTTTTAGAGTGTGCACGAAATCACAGTTCATCTGAACAGATGCCTACACATAAAACATGCATGTGATGTCACGTCAAATTTATGTTCTCAATTTTAATGGGTTTAGAGATTGTGAACTAATTGAAAATGCGAGGAAATTACATGACAACAATTGCCAAAGTTGAAACTGCGGGAGTAAAGTGAAAAATTACCCAAACTACAAGGACCAATTTGGCTAAGACGAATAAGAGGTTTTATGGAGTACTATTTCACTAAGAAAGTATGACATTATATTACTTTTCGTCCCAATCTAAATGCAAACGTGGATTAAAAACTATACAAAAACAAAGAGTAACATTTAAATAGAACTTACGTACATTTATAATGCTAGTGTGATGATATTCTGAACCAATGACATGATTCATGCACGTAAGTTAAGATACAAGGTGAAACGTAATAAACTTTGAATATTGTCACTTTAATGTTCCGGTTGCATATAAATTTCTCTGTGGGATCTAGACAAAAGTTTCAAGATTAGGCTTTGGGGTCTTGCTCAATGAGAGAGAGCAAGTTACATCCAATAATTGAAGGGTGCAGAAGGAAGAGCATTTAGGGCTGTGCCTAGTGGGAAAATGTATTTGATTGCTGGCCTTGACAAATTTACTTAAAAAAATATTATGTACTTGGTTGACAAACTCACTGCTTCTGACTTCTAAGCCAAAAATGCTCATTACTTAAGAGATCATAGCCAGCTTTTAGCAACTAACATTGGACTTTCTGAACAACATGTTTACTATACACGAGTACATAACTCATGAATAATTACGTGAGAAGAGAGATAGAAAATAAGACACTAAAACCAGAATAAAGAACCACTCAGTACTACGCTAACACCGGGATAGGGAAGTTCCTATCCATTAACTCCTCAGGGAAAAAGCGATCACGTGCTCGTCACACGAGGGGATGTGACTGGGAAAGTGGATTGAATCTCTCGTGTTCAATTTTCAGTCCATAGTTGGGGAAGGGGACTCTAAGGCCTCGATGAACATCAACTCCCAAGTTTAAGGAAAACAAATCAAGAAACAAAATTCTTTGTGAAATTGGTATAAAGGAAAGCTACAAATATAAACAGTGAACGTAACTACAAGAGCAAGAATAAAGTAAACAAAAGGACAGACGCAAAATCCCGATACGTCTCGAGTAGTTACAGGTCATTCCAGTCCGAACCAGATAGGTGTTGGAGTACTTGTGCTCCCATACACGCCTATTATCTAAGAGAATCTTCTGTATCTTGATCATCTTCATCCATTGCATCACCAGATTTTTTATCTTCATCACCCCGTTCGCTGCCCTCGGTTTCTGAATCTGAAATTGATCCGCTTTTGGCATCAGTTCTGTTATCTTCTTCGTTGTCTGAACAGCTCTCAGTATCTGAGTCGGATGCAGAACCTTGTTTTTCTTTCGCGTGATCACAACTATCATCTACAATACCACCGAACTGTTCTTTTAAGTCCGGAGCAACAATCCCAATCATTTCACTTAGGGCATGTTTACTAATTTGGAATCGGGGTGAAGAGGAATTGGGTGCTTGACATTCAAGATTTCGTCTTCTGGCAGCAGCATCAGAAGATGGAGTACTTTGGCTCTCGGCCACCTGATCGGTGGAGTTGTGTGGTGCAGCAGCACCTTCCTCATTGTTGTCTCTGCTTCTTTGGGAGCCATTATCTCCATGCACAGAAGGGGCTGTGCTGTAAGCCCAGCTACCAATAACTTCAGAAGCTAAAAGGTCTGCTGTCCTGATCGTACCACAGGCTTCGGTATCTTCCATACCTTTGAGAGTGTCATGGGGGCTATTTGATTGTGAGTGACGCTCCTGACAAATCATTGGAACCTGCTCATCATTTTCTTGTACGTTGGCTTCATCATCAAGTTGCATTGTATCCCCTTCTAAAGTGACAATTCTATTCAAATCAATATTCTGCTCGCCATTGATTCCAGGGCTTTCAGTTTCAGGAACATGCTCGGTGTCAATGCCGTCTCCCTCCATAATGGGTGCTGTGCCAACACCATCAATCTCAGAACCAAAGGCACCCTTGACACCAAGGTCTGCACTTGTAAATTCTGCCTCTTCGGTATGTTGACCTTCTTGGCTTCTGATATCACAGTCATGTTTCTCGGTCACACTAACTTCATCACTAGAAGTTACAATTTGATTTCTGAAAGACCTCTGGGATGTTGTAGCTGACCCTGCCTTGGCAGTAATGTTACTATGGTATCTGATTGCTTCATTTCCTCTGCCTTCAGGTGCAGTTACATCATCAATAACCACATTGAGGTCAATATCTGCTGATGTGTTGTCATAATTTTCCTCGTCTTCCAGTGTCTTCTGCATTGATTTCAACTGTTCCTGCTGTTTAGTAAACAGTACAGAAATCTCCTCGGTTGTGGAATAAAATGCTCTTAGTTGCGTCTCCCTGTATGAATAGCATATCTTCACAGTTTATAATGTTTCAAGAAAATTCAGCGTTGAAAAAAAAAGGTAAACAACCCCACCCCTCCCCAACACAAACACAGAAAATGGACCTCCATTTGTGTCATTTGAAAAGAACTGACTGATTCTAGGGCAATAATTATTTTACAATTGGAAAACTTTGGGGGGCTGATCCACAAAGAGTTTTACGTGCTTAGCAATGACATAACAGGGAAGAAAGGGTTAAAAAACAAAAGCAAAAATAGATTACTCAAGAACTAAGCTACCATGCAACGAAATTACATTATAATCCTACAGCTAAAGACTTCTTTACCTAAGCATAATTCTTTCTCTGGCAGCTTTTAGCCTTCGTCTCTCAAAATCAAGATCTCGCATAGCAGCATTTATCTCTAGTTCAAGTGCAGAAACTTTAGCCCATGCTTCTTCTCGAGCTGCCTGCTACCAACAGCAAGAAATATGTCAGCTTAAAAAAGTAACAAGATAAATGCCTACAAAAAAACATTTATGCCTTGCCTCAAGTGGATACATTTAGCGTGTTGTACCATTTACAACACTGTACAAGGCAAAAGAAAAATTTTCATGTCTACCTTTTCACTCTCAAGCTCCTTCCTCAGTCCTCTCATCTCATGTTCAAGTTCTTCAACTCTCTAAGCAAACATCCCCCAATATGGTAAGGAACTTAACTTCAACAGCTATATGCAGGTGAAGATAACTACAAAAATATTTAAGCAGGCTTGAAAGAGCATAATTACAATTTTTCGACTTTCAGAGGTTGACTGCTCTTCGGAAAGTTGGGTTTCTAGCTGGCGAACTTTATAGTCAGAGACTACCAACTTTTGCCTAGTGTCTTCCTGCAGAACACAGGGGAATCAAGACAAGGGCCTCCAATGATTCAATCAACGTATCTAATTATGCAGCATGTAAAAATATAAAGGTAGTGCCAATATTACCAATTTGGTTCTCAAGGTTTCCACCAGTAAACATGTTTCTTTCTCTGATTCCTGAGACCACAAATCTCTATATATCATTCCTCAACACAATCAAAACATTATATCGTATACGAAAGTTGCATTCATACCTGAAGCTTATTAATTACTTCTTGTTGCTCTCTTTGTCGTCTTGTGGCATCATCAGAAAATCGTTTTAAATCCTCTTCAGCCTCTGATTGAGCTTTCTGCACTGCTGCTTTCAAATCTGCTGCAGCCTTTTCTCGTTCTTCTCGTCTCTGAGCACGCTCTTCATCCAACTGTGCCTTGAGTTCAGCTATAGATGCTTTCTGACTACAAACAAGGATAACACTATCACTATATCTTTCTACATAAATTAAATTTTCTCTCAGCTTCTGCACCCTAAGGTGGGGAGAGAATCAGTCACCACTGTTCTTGACAAAACAAGTCAGGCTAGCATAGACATGCTCAAATGAAGCATGATATCAATAAGTTAATAAGTAGATATATCTTAGCAAGAAAATATATTAGCCATCCCAGCTACAGCCATAGCAAGTATAGGAAACAAAGTTAGTGTATATTTTAGTATTTGAATGTATTGTGAATGCCAAGTTCCTGCAGTGCTTTTCCAATAACCACAACACCCTAATCAGAAAAAGCTGGCCACCCAAACAAAAGTATCCATTTTCTTCCCATGCCTTGGCTCAGAAAGCTTGGAATTTTAGATTTGTGTACGACGTAGAATCAAGTAAAAGTTATAAGAGGAAGCTACTTGAACTGCTAGCCAGAAAAGCATGGGAGACAGCTACTCGAACAATATTGCTTATTACTTAATACTAATACAATAAGAGACTCCATTGAAAAGAAAATATATACACTCAATAGGCAAACACATGACCAAATAATAAGTGCCTTACCTATTCACTATTTCATTTGCTTCAGAACATGACTGCACAGAAGCACTGAGCCTTTCATTAAGGTCTTCGATAGCATGCTTTGTTTCTGCATATATTCTATTAGCTTCCGCCAGCTCCTTCTGTTTAATCTCCAGACCACATTGCAACTCACTGAGTTGATCAAGGTAAGGTCTTGCTACCGATTCTCTCAGTTCTTTCTTTTCCTGCAGGACAAAACATGTCACTTTTCAGTAGATTGACGTACCTTGCTTGTCAAGGAATAACACAGTGAATGTCAACCTGCACTAACATGCACTCACTTATACCAATTCAATGTATTCAAAGCAGTGTCCTAAAAAACGCGCCTCAAGGCATGCCTAGGGGGCCTTCAAGGCAGGGCAGTAGCAATTTCGCCTCTGTGTTCTGGGAGCAGGCAGAAACTCACCTAGGCTTCAACGGGTCGCACCTAGGTAGCCAAGGCACGCCTGAGGCATTTGACTGGGTGTTCCCAGTACCCTTCAGCAATCCAAAATCTTGCTTGAAATTTGAAATTGACTGGAAACCTGGCTCCAGTTCTGTGTTGCAGCGGCGTCTTCACAAAGAAGACGACTGTGCGAAGAAGAAGGGTTTTTTAATTTATTTATAAAGACTTGGCCCAAAATGACATCATTTTGGCTAAGTCTACTTTTTTTTTTTTTTTTAATAAACCCCAGCAGAGAGCAGGTCCCCCTTCTTCCTGATCCAATACCCGATTCAGCCTTTCAAAATTCACCCAATTTCCCTATTCCTCAAACCCTAAATTCTCCCCAATCTCATATTTCAATTTTAGCCCAATCTCATACCTCAATTTGTTTCAAAATTATCCACACCACCAGAATTTGTTTCAGAATTTAAGTACGTTTTTTAGTATTCTAATTTCAATTTGGTCACTGGTAGTTTGGTTGCTTGTTTGATTGTTGATTAATTTGTTTTACAAGTATTGTATTGAGTGTGTGTATATATATATTATTTTAGGTCCCATGAGGCGAAGCCTCACGCCTAGGCAGGGCTATCCATGGAACAGCTCGCCTATGCCTTCGCCTTTTAAAACATTGATTCAAAAACAGGCATGGTTGTTTCATGGAAAAGGATGGAGAGAGAGAGAGAGAGAGAGAGAGAGAGGATAAGGAAGAGAGGGAGAGAGATAGAGAGAGGTCACAGGTCACCAGGTGCATACGTTTTCATGACACTCAACAGCCAGACGAGTCTCATTGCGCAATGTATCAATTGTAACGACTTGGTTTTCCAATTGCTTCCTCAATTCCTGAAGTTTCAAAAGGAAGTTAATTATTTTGACTTTCCATCATCATTCACAACAGTTCTACAATCAATACTGTAATATCATCAATAAGGTACCGTGTTTGACCGTTGAAGACTTCGAAAATCATCAAGAGATATAGGACCATCAGAAGAACCAATGCCAATCCCTTTAACTCTCTTATTATCAGTGACAAAATCCTCTGTACTAAAAAGAGAAAATACGTCAATAAAATAATGAGAACAAGTAATATTAACTAGTCCAAATGAGCCACATTCACAACCATGAAGACCATCAGATCTATGAATCTATTATGAGCTGAGTAAAAATAATTATTATATTGGTATTTTGCTCATGAATATACCTGCTTTTCTTTTTGCAAATGCACCATCTGTACTGGGACTGGACAGTGAAACATCTCTGTATACGAATGCACATGCAAGATCTATAATTATAGACAGATTAAAAGGTCAATAACATTCTGTCGTAGAGACTATGGGGCTTCTTACAAACTATAAAACATGAACAATATCTCTATACAAATACTAAGAATTAACAACTCCTCAAATTCTACTTTAGAAGCCTATAAATAATAAACAGGGTGTTAGTCTCATAAATGCTGCTTAGACTACAAGATGGTTATTGGCCACTGTAGTATTACCATGCTGAGGAGGTGCTGAAGGTGATATAATATCTCCATGATGTACTTCAGCTTCAACACCAACTTTCGTCAACTTCATCCAGTTGAGATAAGTCCCATTTGTGCTGCAAAAATCTCAATTCAATAATTCATTTTATAAGTTGACTGCAAAACTGAAAAATCTCAACGCATAACAATAATAAACCTCATGTCCTTCAAGCATACGGATGTATGTTTCGTATCTTCATTAGCAGCCCTCTTCCTGTATATCTTGCAATGCCTTCCACTAACCGCATTCGAATCAATCTGGAAACGTACATCGTCCACGGTTCGGCCAATCCAATGCTCATCTGCAGTCAACAGGATGTTTATGCCCTGCAATAAAAATTTTGATTCATGTTTTTAACAAAAAATGAAAAAATAAAGACTACATCAAAACAGCGTAAAATAAAGAACCAGAACAGCCTCAATAAGTTCAATTATTTGTTCAGCAATCAATTAAACCTAATAATTTGTACAAAGTTCATGTTTTGAGCCCCCAACGAAACAGATTCAACCAAAATAACATGCCCAGAGAGAGGGGAACGAAATGCATGGTACCTGGTTGCGTTTGCGGGCCTGGGTGGAAATGGCGGTGAGGACACCCCAGACGCCAGGGTCGTAATTCTGGAGGGGCTGGGAGGCGATCTTGGAGGCGACTGAGGTGATGAACTGGCGGGTGCACTGGGAGGCTTGTGGAGGTGTGGTGGCCGCAGCGACATTGGGTTTGACTGGAGTGGGTTTGGAGGAGACCTCGCTTTCGCCTACGGCAGACATTGAAGGACGCAGGAGGTTTTTGGAAACCCTAATTAAGTAATTATGAACAAATTTGGGGGAAGAAGGAGAGATTGGAGGGTGGAGTGGAGAGAGTGAGTTGGGAAGTTTGTAAAGTTTGGGACTTGGGGATTTGGGTCTTCCAGTGCAAAATGCAAATGGTTTGCCAAATACGGTTGAGATTTAATAGAGTGTTGAGGAAGCCAATGGATAATACAAATTTACTGTCACACTCGCACGCATGGTTTATACGACGAGAGTATCAACTTTTCATACACTCTTCGTCATTTTATCTTTTATACGTAATATTTTATAATGTTGTCACGGAATTATGTCAAAAAAATGAGGTGAAAGAGGGTCCCTAGAGATTTCAATTTTTGAGAAAGTCTGTTTAGCATTTTTTTTTTCTTATATTGAACTCACGTAGTATATTAAGGAGAAATGATAACCAGATTTTCTTAAAAGTAGTATTCTCTATAAATTCTCTCTCACCTTATGTTTTTTACATAATATTTTATAAGTTGACATAAAAATTGACGTTAAATTGTGAGGTGGCAGAGTCTCTTATAGCATTTCTCGTACATTAAGTACATAAATTTTGTAATCATACAGCCCACAAATTATTAATTAATCGTTTACTAACCAATTTATTTGTTTTCATACAAAATAGTTAAAATATTGTAAATAATGAGTTTAATATCAATTATTTACTGCATTTTAATGTAATATTGTATGAAAATTGAAAACTAATTTTGTAAAATATTTTGTGTCAACCAACTTATTATTCTAGAAGTGTTTCAAACTGCGAATTTTACAATTTTTTACATTAAGTGCAACATTCATTAAAGAAGGAATATGTACAAACAATGAGGATAGGGTGCTAATAATGGTCTCAATAAAAATTTTGTTGGAGATTTTAACTTGGATGAAGGAAAGAAAAAAAAGCGTTCCACACCTAACAAGATAAAAACCTTGCCTGCGAATTCTACACTTTTAGGGCTAATAATGGTCTTGATAAAAATCTTGTTTGGAATTTCAACTTGGATGAAGAAACAAAGAGCGTTCCACACCTAACAAGATAAAAACCTTGCCTGCGAATTCTACATTTTTAGGGCTAATAATGGTCTCAATAAAAATCTTGTTGAGAATTTCAACTTGGATGAATAAAAAAAAAAGCGTTCCAGACCTAATAAGATAAAAACCTTGCCTATGAATTCTACATTTTTAGATTAAACAGTAGTTCCTTTTTAAGATTTGATTAAGAGGCTTTGACCAATTTCCACATCAGTTTTTTTCTATTTTGTTAGATTAGTCACCGACGGGGTTGGGTCTCACACCATCATGCAAGGGCTTAACTCCTTTCCATCATTATGGTAAAAGCCCACTTTCTAAATTACATGTTATATTAGTATAAAAGAATCTTCACCTTGCAACTAATTGCCTACAATCTAGAAAAGTTAATTTCCCCAATTTCCTAATGGCTTTTTTATAAAAATTAATTAATTCCTCATTATTAATAAAAAAAATAACTAAAACTTATGATTTGTTTGAAAACGAACGTACCAACTTTTGATACTTTTAAATTTCAAATGTATCAAAAATTCAGATGTACCAAAAATTTAAAATGTAACAAACCTTCAAATGTACTCATGTTATATATAACCAAACGTACCGATATAAGCAAACAAACATACAATCAAATGTACTTATATTATGCTTATATACTTGACAAGTGGTTTTTAAACAGTCTAATCTCTACTAATTAATAAAACACTCATTGTCAACCAAAACACTATGAAATTACCAGTTTAACCCTCTAATTAAAACAGAACATGAATAAGAAATATGTGGCAGAAATGTAATTTCACACAACCAAATTTTGCTATTTTTTTTTCAAAGTCTCACCTACATCTAAGCCTAACATATATCTAATTAAAAAAAATAAAAAATAAACTTCCAATCCCACATTCTCTATCACTCTCTTCCTCTCTCCTTGTATTTCAAAAAATAAAAAAGTTTCTCACACACTTTGTGTGTGCCCATATGCTAGTTAATTTATTAAAACAATATTATAATAAACAATAAAAAAAAAATCTGAAATCACCATAAAGATAGAATAATAAATGTATTAATAATAGAAGTAAAAAATGGAATGCCAAAAAACAGAACACGTAATTGACAAAAAGAAACATGAAGAAATAAACTTCAAATAAAATAAAATTTTATTTCCAAAATCATAGAAAAAAAATTTAATCAATTTTTTTTTTTAAGAAACAATATTATTCACACCAAAGGGAAGGGAATAGGTTTAGCCTCACAATGAGCTAGCAATAATGTATTTCAAATTCGCATTTGCTGAAAATCAAACCTAAGATCTCTCATTTACATGGGAAAGAGGAAACTGTGAAACTCCACCCTAAACTAATTGTAATTTCATTTAACGGGAATTATGAAATTACCTTTTTGTCCCCTATCCACTACCTGATCCGGTTTCTTTTTGGGATTTCCTCATAACTCTCCTCATCTCCTTGCCTGCCATGTGGCACACCCATCTCATATCTCCTTCTCTCACAGATCTCTCTCTCCATTCTCTCACCCCTCTGACCACACATGCACACCATCACCACCACCTGTTGGCAATGATGATAACCCTCAACCTCGACCAAGCACCCAACTCTTTCTCTCTCTTTACCAACATCGTTGCAGACACGGTACAAGCTTATTCCGACGAAGGTAAGTTGAAACCATCATTTGATCTCCTTCCCTCGTAGTCTAGACTTCTTGGTTATTGAATGGAAAACGGTTTTGGTGAAGGTTCAGGCACTAAAACAACTCAAGGAAGCATTTCTCAACTTTCCAACGAAGACCGAAGGTTTGTAAGGTTTCTCCGGCCAACTTCAGCCATGTTTGGGCCTAGATTAGGTATATTTCGAATCCTTGTCTCCCTAGCTTCATTTTGGAATATTGCATGCTAGGGATAGTTGTGAATTGGAGCTCGATCGGAACTCGACTGTTCCCGGAACGGAATCCGGCATTCTCCTTCGTTGGGTCCGACAACCCACGAATTGAAATTGGGCTAGCCTAAGCCCAAAACTTAAAACCTTTAACCCAAAAACCCAAAAGAACCGGGCCTTTGGATCGTGTAAAATAAGGGCCTTCGGCCCTTTGAAGCCAAATCCAACCCATTTCAAATCCTCAAACCTAGAGACTTAGGCCGAGCTTTCAAGGCCAAAGCCCATTAGAACCTAAGCTCAAATCTTTTTGAACCTAGGCCCTTGGGCCTTGTAGAACTAGGGCCTTTGGCCCATTAAACCTTTGGCCCAAACCCAGGCTGTGCGTGGGTGCGTGTGAAGGGCCGCCGGTGCTGGCGCGTGGAGCACACGTGCCGCTATCCATGGCGACACCAGAGACTTTTTCGGCCAACTTTTTGGCGACCCACGACCGCGCGTGGGGGTACCCAAGGACCCCTTTTATGTTTTTTGATGTCCTAAATCCATTTATGACTTCCGTTTCCTAAAATTCAATCGTTATGATAGAGTTTTATTAATTAGACTCTTTATGTGTTTAAGTACGACTATTAGCGGCAATTTTGTCATTCTTATTTCGCACGGCTCATCAACGACGAAGTATTTGTGAGTGGACCCCTTCTAAAATGCATATTTTAATAGTAGAAATGTAAACATGAAAAGCATGATTTAATGGTTATGTTTTATGAGTAAATTAGATTTACACTTTATGATTATCATGCTTTACTGAGAATATTTTGGAATACCATACTTTATCGAATTTATGTTCTTTGTAGTATATATGATGGATGACTATATACTATTTATGAACATGTTTTTACACTCTTTGTAGTATATATGATGAATGACTATATACTATAAAGATGTTTTGAGATATATGTACTTATGTTGGAAAGATTATATTCGATGTTTTTGTGCGTATCTAATGGTCACTGTTCTGCCTACGGGCGCGTGATGGAGAGCATTCAGGCAATTATGATACCACTAGTTAGCACTAGATATGATATATATTTTATGAAAGGTTTTATGGCATACTAGGGTTTTCGAAAACCTATTACATATTATGCTATTAGTTTTCATAAACTTTGGGGGTTAGTACGTTGTTGAATAACTATATTTGTACCACTTATATATCAACTTGGTCTACTCATGTTTGTTTTGTGACCCCTCAGGACATAGGAACGAGGCTTACAATCCAAGCTACGAGGCATTCCCTTACCAGTGACATCATGCCATCCCTTTTGCTTTGACATCATTGTAATAGCACCTTTCACTTGTATTCTGAATTAGATGTATGCTTTGAACATGTCATGCATTATCACTATCATTATCATTATTGGCAGTTGAATATTGTTGTATTATTTTATTATGTTGGAATATTACATTGCGTAGTTCGCGTGAAATTTGCATGCATGTTTCACATGTTCTTAGCATATGCATTCATCAAATGGCTTGCGTCACCCTCAGGTGTCGGCCAACACGTGGCCATCCAGATATTCCTTGGACATCAGGATCGTGGTATGTCAAATTGGTATCAGAGTATACTTAGGGCTTCATTCTTCCATTTACTAATCATAATCTTTCGTCCTTCTAAATCGTGTTTGCCTCTTATCAGAATCATAGATCCTACTAGTAGAAATGTACCTCGACGACCTCGTTCTGGTCTAATGGGAGGAATTTAACAGTTGACCTCCGCTCTATGAAATGCTTTTCGAGGTAGTAGCAAGCCATGTCGTACATATATGGAGTTTGCTTGTAGCCATGGTGTTTCAAAAATTAATGTAGTTGAAGCCTGTGAAAAGGTTGAGGATTAGTTAGAAAAGATGGAAGACACCTTAAAGAGTATGAGATGCCCAGCATCTGAATAGGCGAATAACACTGGTTACTTCCTTAAGGGGAATGTGAGATATTGGTGGAAGTTAGTGACGGGCTTTCGCCTCCGTAACTCTATGATGACTTGGGCTACGTTCTAGAGACTCTTCAATGCACACTTTTTTAGCCTTAGTTATCAATTGAAAAAGA